CAAAACATGAATATGTAGATTACCTCTTGGTTATGTTCAGAAGGTGAAGATAGTGGGATGGAAATTTTGACTTTGAGAGAAATTTCAAATTCCTAATCCCTCAAAGTCATGCTGAGCCATTCTCTATTGAGCCTGGTACCGGTTTGGACCAGGCACTCTACTACATTGTTCATCCCTGATTTCCATGGAACTATCTGGGTGCTGTTGTGCCTTTGGGCAACCATAACATTGATTGGAAAGAAGGAGCTCCAGCAAAGTCACTGCAAGCCTTGAACACTTTAGCTCAGAGCATACTTAAATGAAATGCATACAGGTTGGTTCTACTAGTACTACCAATATTGTTTCTATTGAAGAACCCTTCAATTAAAATCAACAGCAATCAACAACTACATTGAGTCAGAAAGGAGATATGATGGACACACAAGGTGGGTCTGTTTAACAGCTTGAGTCTCTAGCTCAAGACTTGAGTCACAAATGATGACGGAGCAGTTTTCATGGTCAACCTTTGTTGCCAACAGCCACCATTTGTATCCTGATTAATCACTTTGTTCCTTTACGGCTCAGGCCTAAGCTGATTTTCAAAGGGCTGTATGTTGTTCATTTATAAGGACTGTTTGAAAACTGTTTTGAGTATCTATAGGAGTATTTGGTGTGGGCACGTCAATGGGCTACACAGAAAGGGACATGCAGTGCTACATAAAACCTTCACAAAGTATACTATACAAAGGTGATTCCAGAACTTTTCCCCCAATTTCTCAGAAAATCTTTCAGAAAGCCAGAAATCTTCTGGAACCTGATTCCAAAAGGGCACCCAAACATGAATTTTTCCACAACTACAGCAATCCAGAACACAGCCAAAGTTTTGTTCTGGAAAATTTCTGGAACATTTGTGGAAATGTCTCAGAATTGGATTTGTGTAAGATGATGAACCAAATTTAAATAGAGCAGACTGATGTGCACATATAGTTTGCTTGGCTGGAGTTGGTGAGCACTTCATACCACTGCTGAAACTTGAAGGACCAACAGATTCTTCCAGTCAGGCAGTCAAAGATTAGAACTTATAAGGTTTTTTTTGATTTTTGTGGTGACTGTGCAACTAGAAGTCCATTGATATTCCTCCTAGTGAGTAACTTGACTTGGGTATATCTGGCTGTCTGCTTGATCAGTTTCATCTTATTATCAAACTCAGAGGAGAATCAACTCAATAATCTCAATCATGCCATTCTGCAATTCATTGACACCATCACAGCTCATTTGAAAACATCAAATCCCAAGTTCTGCAATCTGAATCCAAACCAAATTTCTGATCATTTCCATCTAAAATATTGGCCTATAGATTCAGTGGAGCCAATCCCATGTTCTTCTGCCCATTCCCCAATCTGGTTGTCATCAATCTCAACACCATCATAACCACCGTGGTCAAAACAGTCTTGATTCCATATTGCTGACAGGTGTCTTCTGACTTGTTACTATCTCCAGGTTCAAGTAAACCAGTGTCATCTGTAATCTGAAACTTCTCCGGATTAGGCCAAAGTTGATATGTGATTGTAAATCTTGTGCCATGTATTCCGGAGCAAAACCTAATGAGATGGTTGATATGCTTCCTGAAAGTTAAAAAGCTCTTAAGAATTGAACAGGCAAAGGACTTGAGATTGAGGCAGAAAGGGAAGTCGTGCGCACTTGTCGACAAGCAAACACTACCCGGACACGGTGTATGCTTCCTGAAAGTTAAAAAGCTCTTAAGAATTGAACAGGCAAAGGACTTGAGATTGCTAGATTGTGTAATTTAGGAAAGTTAAGCCAAAATTCCTTTTTGTGATAAAACCCACACAATTGAACCTAAGAAGTTCTTGTGTGTGGAACCAACTAATATAGTACATGTAGCGCTAGTATTGTATAACCCTGGATCTCATTTGTAAGTGGTTCAAACACAACCCTCCCTTGGAGCATGAGAACCCTATACTTCCCTTTGTGGTGGTCATCATGTGCCAAGAAGATCTGTATAGATGAACAGCTAATAATTTGGGATCCCAATACAACTTAGTTGATTGAACTCAGGCTACATGTGGTTATTAAAAAGATCATCATAAAAAAGATCATGCAGGCAACACCACCCGTGCTCCACCCGAGATAGCTTGGGTGGAGCGGTAGTGGGGCGCGCACCCCGCCCACACTATTCGGTCTTACATGTAGCGTGCTCACGCACTGCTATAGCTATGGTGAAACCCGGGAATGTATAGCAGTTTTGACTAACGCCCTGTATAGCATTTTTCGGCCCTGCTACAATCCGTCACAGCGGTCCTGGGCGCCACCAAGCGCCCCATAGCACTTCATAGCAACATGTATCAACTTAGGCCAATCCCAGTAATAGATCAGACCACCCACCATACCCTCCAACCTCCCATTTTAACTATCTGGAGGCACTAATCACCCCAACCCAGCACCTCTGCGCCTCCAAGTAGCATCCTTGGAAGGATGCTACTGTTTTCTGGGCAATTGGGTCCATGGGCTTCCCCTATAAAAGATGCCAAATTCACAGGTAAGTCCTCTGTTTCCCTCAATTAATCACCCAGCATCGTCCTCCTAGTGTTTCTGTTGCTCTGATTGTCAAATCTCTCACATTCTACTTACTTGAATCTGTTCTTTCTGTTAGCCATTCTTCCATCACAAGTAGATATATCCAAAAAAACCATCACATTTCACTATGTCCAATATCAGAAACTTCACTCAAACCACCCTGCACCTCAACCCATCTAGTGTCCTTGCTCCACCTTTGGCCATATCTAATTGTTCTCTGTGGGTGTGTAGCCCTGTTTGTCCGCAACCTGGGTTTGTCATCCAACTACCCAACTCGCAATGTGCCTTATCTCCAACTTCATAACCTACTTGATCGCCTAATGTCAATGATGGGGTTACTAGTGATCAAGATGACAGGTTTAAAACCAATGCAGATCAATCCATGACTGCATCAAACCCACCCATCCCAGCTCAATCACGTCTGAAGAAGAGAATGCCAAAGGTACTTGTTGGGAAAGGTAAACGTAAAAGTTGTCTTTCTCAAAACACTTCAGACACATCACAAATTTGTTCAGCACCTCTGAAGAAAAGGAAGAGACGTGTGACTACTGTGCTTGAGGTACATGATCTCACCTATCCCATCTCTCTTTGGTCTTTCCTCTCAACATCTATATTCACTTTTATATTTTCTAAATCACACCATGCTTCAACTTTCCTCACTTTATATTGTTTCATTTCTGTTTCTATCTGATTGCATCTTCCTTCATAAAGGACTAGGAAGTGCCTGAGGGTGTTGATGTTCATCAAGATTCAGATATTGAGGTCATAAAGTCACCAGGAGTCTGGCAAGCCCATCTTGGCTGTGTGTCAAAAGTATTGGAATACTATGATCCACCCACTCATGTGAAAGGCCAAGTAAGTACCTCTCTTTCTGACATCCAAACTCTTTCTTTCCATTGATCATCTTGTGTGTTATCTGACTAACATCTACATTTCTTGTTTCTTCCAGACCGGAGAAGATCCCCATTGATATTGGTGTAAAGATTGTCGTGGATTCTTTGTCCGAGGAAAGAGGAGTCATTACAACCTATAATCACATTGAGACAGATTGAAGGATTTACCGGCATGCCCCAGACAACACTTAGAAATCAGAGAGGGTCATGAACTCCCTTGGAGCTGGAAGCAACAACAAGACAAGATTGTCCAAGTAGCCGGTACCAACTCAAAATGAATGCTTGATGCTTTCTTATCTCAATCTTCTTTCAGTGTTGAGATGCTCAACATGGTCCTAGTTATTGGTATTCTTTGACATGGCCTACCCTTTTCTAGATTCAATGATCCTCCTTTGTGTGCGGCTTTCAAGTTGTCAAATCGCTCTGCAACAATGCGAGGTACCATCTGGGCCTCAGAGACCGCCAAGGGCATCTACCAGGACCTTTTGTCCACAGTCATTGATACAATCAGGGTATGTTTTCTAATGTGAGTGTAAAATTGTAATTCACCCCCATGTAAGTTGATTTTTACACTGCTGTGATCTTGCACTCAATATTGAGTATAAATCATGGAGTGTAAAAATATCTTCACCCATAGAATAAATAACAATAGAAAAACAACATTTTGACTTTCAGCAAAAACTTTTTGTAAGAAAACACGCCTGGCGTGCCAAGTGGCGCCTGGGCGCAAAAAAACAAAAAAAAACAAAAAGAACATGCCTCAGCGCGCCTACAAAAATATGAGCGCACCCACAACCTGAATCTGAAGGCTGAAGACCAGTAATCATATGAGAAGCAGGAGTAGGAGGTACACAGCAGCTAACTGACCCCAAATACTGACACCTTGTTGTGGGCTCATGGTGCATTCCAAAACTTAGGGCAAGGCACATTAACTGTGTGAGAATTCCCTGTTGCAGGCAGGCCCACATAGTCTCAAATGCTTATAAAACCCACCAGATGCACCCCATGTAAGCATATTTTCAAAAAAATGCTTTCAGGCTATATGCTAAAGTGTCCAAATTAAGCCCCCCACCATGATTGTATCACCAAACTTCATTCCTATAGCAAAGTATGCTTACTTGCGGTACTCAAAGCTACATATGTACTCGTACATAGGTGCCGTATATAGTTTTTTTGGCGGGGAAAAACCACAAGAAGTATATTCAAAGTATTTTGCCCGCCAAAAAAACTATATACAACAACTATGTTGCGTACATAGTTGCTTTGAGAACCGTAACTCAATGTTACAACTTACAACAAATAGCACAATAATCTTGTCAGTTCTGACTCCAGGACATTGGCTTCCACAACAGATGGTAGTGTGGAAGCTTCTGCGGGGATGCAGAGAACATAACTACAAGAAAACTGTACAAACATCACGTGACACGCTGTGGCACAGTCGTGCACAGCACACACTCTACAACAAATGTGTGCCTAGGTAAGTTGTACATATATCAAGCAATGTATGTAAAGTCTGATTAGCTTCAGCTCATGTTATTTTCGACGGCAGTTGGACCCGGCCTGTCTGGAAAGGTCCACTCGAAGAGATCTATCTGGACGTTTGTGATCAAGCCTCAATAGGCGTCTTGCACGCCTTCACCAAATTATTTGCATCTACTTTGATCAAACTTAGTTTGCACTCCTTAGCATTACACACTGGTGAAGATTGGAACGCTGATCCAATTTCACAGGCACTCTGGAGTGGAGAACTCTCATTTGAATTGCCCAACCTCAAATTCTTCACCTCATCACACTGTCTTCCAGTAGGATTCTTAAGAGCCTTTCAAGCTTCAAAGAATATATCCAAAATTCACTTATGTGAGACTCCTATGTTGCATGAACTAGACGTGACAACATGGCTCCAGAGTGAAATCTGGCCCAAGCTGACAAAGTTCATCATCTGGCATTCAACAGCGTTTGAATCCTCGGCTAGCGTACATGGATTGCTACAGTTGGCTACAGGATATGGAATCAAGATGCGCCTCAATGGCCATCTTAATGAACTTTATGATGGCAGCAAGGTGGGTTCCTATTAATTCTAGCGGGCACAAGGAACGGGGGTCTGGTTTGGTAAATGTCGAGAATCCTAATAAGGACAAGGATTGCGGTGAAAAACATGACAAGAAACATGATGGAACAAAGTCGTGATGTGAGCTTGGTATGAAATCAAGTACTATGGTCGATTAAAATCTATATCAATATCAAGATTAAGAGGTTAACTGGTTCATATTCTTTGTGATTGAAATATTGTTGTCGGATCTTCCTTGCTTTGTAAAAGACCTTCCTGTAGTTTAGCCTTTGCTTAATAGAACTTTATGATGGCAGCAAGGTGGGTTCGCACAATCAGCGCTTGGAACAGAAGCTTTTGATTCATACCTCTGACGAGAATCCTAATAAGGACAAGGATTGCGGTGAAAAACATGACAAGAAACATGATGGAACAAAGTCGTGATGTGAGCTTGGTATGAAATCAAGTACTATGGTCGATTAAAATCTATATCAATATCAAGATTAAGAGGTTAACTGGTTCATATTCTTTGTGATTGAAATATTGTTGTCGGATCTTCCTTGCTTTGTAAAAGACCTTCCTGTAGTTTAGCCTTTGCTTAATATTTAACCGGGGCTTATAGCGTGTGATGTGAGCACAATCAGCGCTTGGAACAGAAGCTTTTGAGTCATACCTCTGATACAATACATGTCAAGAAGAAATCGTTGAGCAGACATCCTGTGATCACCCACTATCATAAATGGTGACTGTGTTGCTTGACAGCAATTAACACCGCCCGGTCTATGTAGGGATAGTATGCTACAGTCATCTAACTTTTCAGTGAGTCTCTATGCACAGCAGATGGCTCAGATGAGCGTCTTCTAGCTATCTTCATCTTTGCATGCAAGTCTCACTTGCCTCTTTTTCTGGTATCCTACAGGTTCATTCACTAATACTATGTCATAGATGCACCTGCTTCCTTCTGGATTGGGCAAGCTTGCGACACTCATTTCTTTACTCAAGTTGGTTAAGAATCTATTATATGCCACATTACAATTGAGAGAAGGCAGAAATATCAGACACCTTATGATTACTGACTGAATGGCAAGTTTCCTGACTCTCTCTTCAACTCTAGTTTGCACAATCACCTATCAGCGTGAGACCTACCCTGGTATTTGTTGCAAACTTTATGGATTTGTACTTGCCGATTTTCTTTGTCACGCTTTCAAGGCCAAACCACTCACCACTTTATTTTGAGCCATTTATTTGATTTGATGCGTTAAAAATGTAGTATATCTTCATGAAGTCAATACCATATCTTATAAACAACATTCTAATTTGTATGTTTTATCAAGAACAGAAAAGGAATGACCAGGTCAAAAGGTGATCAAAATGCCTGATCATAAAGTATAGTTTTGTCGGCTCTGATTTTGAGTGTCTTGACGCCGGATTGCTGACATTGTTTGTAATTATATACTTACATTGTCCTATTATTCGAGACATTACTTTTGTTATTAGATTTGCTCTTGCAACCATACTGGTTGACATCTTCAGATTTTGAATTTTTGAAGAGCGCTCACTTTTGTTAGGTGATCAGTATTGAATGTGTTGATCAATCGTAAAGCAAAAGAAGTAGAGTTTCCCACTTGAATGACAGCGTAACTGATCCATGAAAAAGAGGCCGAAAGAAAGTTACATGTGACCAACCTGTGATTCCATGGGATGTTCCCATCAGCTTTCGAACTGGTCATTAGAAAATTAAGATGGAATCGTAACTCATATTTTGTTTCTTGGCATGCATCCTCCCAAATACAATTCTTAAGTGAGAAACACTATCAAAAAGTAGCTCGTTAAAAGTAATTCCACCACAAGCTTCTTCAGATCCAGAGGCACTATCATATTGAGAAGCATCACCTTGCACAGTATCCACTAGCATGCATTGCCTGCAACACCGAAAAAGTAGGCGGAAAGGCAATATATTCAGTGAAACGCCTCTTAAGCTGTTATGACTTGACAGAAAGATAATCATTACCAATTGCGAGACCCTCATCTCAAGGTGTGATTTGCCGGTTTAGTCGCAATTTCATGCCTTTTTCGCGATACGCAGCAAAGACTTAGGAGACAAAAGCGCTATCAAAACTGGCCCGTATCAACAGCGTAGTTTTCTTCGGATTCACTCAATCCAAATGATTGGCGAGGAATTATGACTTGGACCTGATCATATGTTCCACATGATTCGACTTGGCCTGTGATTTTAGCACAACTATCTTGAAACCGCTTGCACCAAACGGAGGAGGGCATTTACTTTAGCTTTGTCGATTTCCTCAGATGGCTTCCATTCCGCGGCAACCAATATTAACGAGCATATTGAGAGCCAAGGCCATGTCACTTGGAAATCTCAAAAATTACGGGCGTAGTGTTCAAACATACAGACAGAAAGCTTGGTGTCAGCATACAGGACCATCACAAAGGCAAAGGGATGCTACTGAGCGGGAAGAATAAACAATCAATGTACACATTCAACATTATCATACCGGGTCAAAATGCTACTAGCATTTCCTGTAAATGTCACGTGTGGATCAGCGTCGAAGCTGTATGTATAGGATATAAATATCTTACTTTTCTCTGATCGCCGTTCCTCCTCATCCTGACTCTCTACCACCACGACTTTCAACCACCAAACCAACCACCACACCAACCACCACACCAACATACCATTTCATAAAAACATTTACTATTTCCTGAATTCTTCCCACTTCTCTTCCATTTCTCTTTCATCATGAATCTCCCCAAGTTAACTTTTAAAAAGATCTTCGGTCCTCGTTTTCAAAAAACCCTCTTTGTTTACTTCCCGTTGAACTTCTTCTTTGTTATCTTTTTGATTTGGGTCACTCACAAGATCTCTCCTCGCAAAGTTCCAGAGTCGTTCCTCCTTAAACTCATCGCTAAAAAGTTGTACATCATTCTTCCTTGGGCTTATTTCTATTCCCATATTCTTTACTCTCGCCACGACACTCTTCCAAAGGAGCGTTCGACTATTCCTGAGAAAGATATCGAACTCGGTCCAGTAGCTCCTCTTCCGAAACCTCTCGATGCTCCAACCCCTCTTCCAGCCGAATTTGTTGAAATTGATCTAGGTATGTTATCTTTCCTACATTTCTTCTTTCTCATGATTTTATAAACCAGTCTAACAAACTCTTCATTTGCTTCTAGGTGAAGGTCCCTCAAACTGCGGTCTTCCTGGTCCTCCTCGACCTTTTTTAACATGTGAAGTTTGAAAAACTTGACTCGATTTCATCTTGGTATGTTATCTCTGCCTTCATTCGTCATCTATTCATCTTTTCTGAGCACAAATTCATTATGTATCTTGTCTAATCATTTTGACTCTCCCCAAATCTCTTGTGACTTGGCAGGCGACACGTTCCTTGATTGATTTCCTTATCTCAATGTCTTGTTTGACCATTCCATTCTCTCGTTTGAAATGTGTTCTTGTTGTTATTGTTTTGCGATGATGAGTAGGAGTTTACTTTTTGAATATTCGTATCGAGTCGTTGCCGATATTTGAATCAATTAGTACTTTAAATACCCTCACTCTGAGCTCCTTTACTTCTATCTTTCAATCTCATTTGTAATCAAAAGATATATATCAACATCTCCTTTCAAATGCATTGAAGTGACCAAATGAATAGGGATTTCAAAGATACCAAAGTACAAGCTTGCTTTCTTCATCATAAGGCTGTTATTGTGAGAATTGCCTTTTACAACCTTTGACATCTTCAGAGAGTTTTTGTGTTTCTCTACTGTCACCGAGAAAGATAACGAGCTTGGTCCAGTAGCTCCTCCTCCGACCCCTCTCGATGCTATACACCCACTCCTCCAAAACAAAATCTAGATGCACGCTTCAACCTGAGCTTCTGAAGTCAACCTTGGTATGTAGTTTCTTTTGATTTCAAGCTTGTTTCCTTTTGCTCGGACTCTGATGTTTGCTTTCTCCACACTTGTCAGCTCGATTTTCATCAAACTACGGTCTTCCTAGTTCTCCTCGACCTCTTCTTACATGCGACCTCTAAAGAATTATTCTTCAAATTATTTATAATGCTATTGTTCATCTATTAGATTAACTTTGATTTCGATTGGTGTAGAAGTGCAGTTTAGGTTATAAATTCAGAACCATGGATATCTGAACCGTTTGATCTCAATCATCTCGATAATGCTTATTAGTACCTTTCGCTGTGACTTGAGAAATAGATAAGAGATGTATTTCATTCACAACAAAACATATTGGATGTGTACTCATATTTAACAAGAGGCATTGGGATCTCAACCCCGCATATCTTCATTTAGGGTGTCCAGCTATTGCAGGTCATGCTCAGCTTGGCTATACGCTCTGAGCTCTCAGTGAGACGCCTTCGCGAAATGTATGTTTTAGATGATGCATTTCATTAGGCTGATCCATACTCCCAGACAACTTGTACATTTTCGAATATTGTATTTTATTCAGTAATGATCCTACATCTAATTATGTACAAACGTATTACTGATAAGGATGCTTTAAATCCGTTCAAGCAACTTCGATTTGATTATGATTCCATCCAGTAGATTCGTACCCAAAGTACAAAGTATCATCTAGACTGCAGAAAGACTCTTCAAATTCTTTTTCGTGCCTTCGTAGTACATCCTTTCTTCCTTTGACATTGAAGTTGAGATTGTAGATAGGAATTAATCATATGTTCAGTCATTTGTGCTTTGGAATTCCAAAATCGAATTCGTGCACTGGAAGGATGGCACAGCACAAAGAACCTGAATCTGATTTGAGGACTTGCGTAATTCGATGATCTCCTCTTGTACATGGAATCATCGATACGCCAGATAAATTTTCAAAATCCCTCCTCGTGCCTTCGTCACAATCTTTTGTTCCGTTGTCGACGAAGTTGAGAGTTTGGATAAAAACCATAATAGGATCAGTCATCATTGGATTCAAATTCCATAACCGAATTGACGCGTGTTGCTCAGCAAAAACAAGTTTTACGCTGCGAGTTGAGGAAACGCTCCCAACTCTTCGAGCTTCAATCGACATTTGAGATGTTCAGGCGATCGAAAGAAATATTGCTGATATCGGTGTTGAAACCGCCTGCTAAATGAGCCAGATGAGAAGAATGAAAGAAAACTTTTGATTGATCGAGAACCAAAGTTCGCCTTTGGGTATTTAGCCATAGGTGAGATGTGTAAGGTATGGGTTTAAACAAGTCTTTGCATCAAATCAAACACCCCACCCGAGTCTTTCCTTTCTAGACACACCACACACCATCATCCACCAAGTTGACCTCCACTCTCACACTCGCCAACCTCAACATCGCCGAGCCCACAACATCCTCACAATCCGGCTCTCAAGTTAATTCGGTCCAATTAATAATAGACCTGAAATCAAAGAAACATATTCATCTTCTTGGACAAAATGGCTGCTTCGCGACCTTCAACCAGTGAAAACATTCTATCCGAAAAGGTGAAGCAAACTGATGAGATACACTTTAAATGCATGAATAATTTCAATTCAACTTACGTATGAAATGATACTCTGTTTGTAGACGGATGTGTGTGTTGCCAATGCAATCGTCAAAACCGGTATTGGTTTCGGTGCTGGAGTGGTATTAAGTGCAATTCTATTCCGACGTAAGTTTTAAATCGCAATCCTTGACGAACACACGTAATTTAAAAAGATCTGACTTTTCTTTTTGTTTTGATTACATTCAAATCTCTCAAAGGCCGAGCATTTCCAGTATGGCTTGGCATCGGTAGTGGTTTAGGAGCTTCATATTCCGATTGTCAAAGAACATTCAATCCAGTTCATGTACCTGGTTATCGATTCCCAGATGTTCAAACTCCATCTTCACTCAATATGTCTGATACTCCAAAAAATTCTGAGAATGTTAAACGTATACTGTAATTTCAAAAAAAAAACCTTTCACATCTTCAGTTTTTCAGTCGAAACAAAAGCGTTACTTATTTAACTCTCTTTCTTTAGAAGTCTCTTTTTGGTATGTGATGATGATTGCGGAGCTTGGTTTGAAAATCAACGCTGTATAGAATTAGGTGGAATGGCTCACAAAGCTATCATAGCTTGACCTCGTGCTCTCTCACATAACAACATCTTTGGAGTCAAGTGTGAACAAAGGACGTCTTATTAAGGGTCATTGATAACTGCTTATTACTCAACATCACTTCACAGCTTGTATTACCGTCCGACGCTATGTCTACACGATCAAACCTTTTCCCTTTTGGGAAGCTTGGTTGAAGGTGATAAAAGACATCTGTGAAATGATGCAGCCATGAATGAGTCTGTGAAAGATACAGAAGGATCGAAGTGATGGTCTTACTGGGTGAGTGAGCTGATGACGTAGTGTATCAGATTGCATTGGCATGATGATATCAAAAAGCCGAGGATTTGTTCTTCTGTTTACCAATTCTCTGTCATCCAGCATGTCCATCAGATTGACTCTCGTCCAGTCACGTATACAATATCACTTTCCCACAATCCTTCACCACCTCACCTTACCAGAATCTTTCTCGCGATATGTGACCACGATCAGATTTATGTTTCCAACAAATTATCGATCAATAATTTTTAAGTGCTTTTGGCTAAAATTGCATATAACACCAAACTTAAGCCTTGAGGTAGCTTGAGGTCGCGGACGCAGCCGCGGAGAGGGGCTTAGTTAAGCTTGCACCAAACTTAACTAAGTCCCTCTTGAGCACCGAGCCGCTCATTTGCATCAGTATCACATTTGTAGCTATCGAACAACTTCATCGACTTGCATTTTTTATCTTATCAAATGAATCTCATCGAATTTGAAAAACAGAACGTCTGTTAACTCGAGGTTGGGATATAATGAGATTCTCATGACGCGCAAGGCTAAAAAATCGAGTAACAAGAGCTTTCCGACAAGCCAACGACTACACCCAGGCCGATCGGTCACATCTACGTATTTGATCATGCCTTGGCCACACATTCACTACCTTTAAGGGTAAACAAGTTGATTTGTGGTGGAACCCGGACGGCAGATGCTCAGACGACTTGTATATTAGGCTTTCCTGCTGAAATCTGCATTCCGCCCTTCTGGTGGCCGCGTATCCGTCAAAGTCTTGTGGTGTTTCATACTTGAGTTGGCAGTAACAAGCACACGCAGTTTTCATGCATCTAAGAACAGAGAAGAGATATGGAAATTGGCTTGATTGACTTAAAGCTTCGATTTGATGGCCTCAACTTCAAGGCCAATTGGTCCGCTGCGAATATTCCAAGTGTTTCTTATTTGTGACTTGCCCAATCAAGCACTTCATGGAGATGCTAGTGAGATAAAATGGCTTTCTAATACCATACTCTTTGAAGGAAACTTGGAGGTGTAAACATATCGAGACTGAACTTGTCTACTTGAAAGTTTAGCGCATATAGCCACTCGATGTGCATCGAGACAGAGCAAAAAATGTCCAGCTCTCAATTTATATCAGAGAATAAATCATACGCAACAGTCCTGGGAGGCGTTGATATTTACGTTCGTCTGTTGAAAGATCGAAAAACGACTTTTAGGTCATCTTTGAGAAAAGTCCAATCTGATCACTTTAGATTTGTGAACGGTTTGCATGCAACATGCGATTGAATAAATCGGTCCTATATCAACCAAGTATGGAAACTTAGAAAGCTCTTTGTGGAATACTCGGTAGCCGAATGTCAAGATCTTGGATTGCAAAATTTTGACAATCAAGATCAACATATAGATGACCCATTAGATCTTTGGGATGACTGAATGAGAAGGTATATAAACGTTGGCACATCCAGTGACTTGATATCAGGGACATACCAAAAAGTCCAGATCACAATTTCTGTCGGGAATGATATGTACCAGAGACTCTCAAGACTTTTCACCTCGTGTTGTTCTTTCTAAACATCAAAAAATGCCGTGAAAGGTGTCTTTGAAGTTGAAGTAATCGAATCAGATCAATCCAAATTTGGGAATACTTTAGTTATGGTCTTTGTTTGTAGGAAGATACAATCGGAGATGAGCAAATTTTACAATGTCAAAGGGATCGATTCCAATGAAACTCCTTGCGCCGTGTTTGATATTCAAGTGTTAAGAATTAAGTAATTCGGATTAATGAGAGTCAACCCACTAATGTATAGATATTATCTGTGATATTTCGAGTAGGAGTGTATTGATGTGCTGATGTACTTCCCTCAAGAAGGATGATTCTGGTGCTAAACGATGTAGCGAACAATTCTGGATTGCTTTGGTTTGTTATCTTGAGCATAACACACGTCAACAAATTTACTCAAAGTGTTCTAGGTGATGAAGTGATCAGTACCCGAATTGTGGACCAGCTAAAACCTGAAAGCCACGCTCACCAAGCATTCGATAGCGAGATATCGAAACTACCTATCCATGATGCTCAACAATCCAAATGGTAAAAATTATGGGTTGAATTTTCAGGATTGTTCAGTCAAATTGTAAGAGTGATGGACACAGATTTTCTTGTGACAGATTGCTACTGGAACTCGGTGAAGTAGCCATCACAATCATTTTGTACAGCTTCGACTTCATTATTTTGAGTACAAATGATAAATTAATGTACTTGCATTATTGTTACTGCTGGATGGACATAAGAAATGCGGCAAAGCTGATCCTGATGCTGATCCTCCCAGTCACCATTTAGCTCGTATCGGTTGTATTTCTTACTCAGAGACCTTTCCACAACTCACCACTTCGATTCCCAACTCCATATTCCGTCCCTTCCGTCTCCCTTCAAAACTTCTCGTCTACAACCTTTTGATTGATCACTATCACGATGCGGCCTCCTGCCCTCAATCTTAAGAATTGTAGAATCAAGAAAGTTTTCACCAACAATATCAATGATGCCGATGCAGTGAGTCCTTGTTTCTTTTCATTCACTTCCTGAACCTCCTTCATCCTTTCATCCTTTCCAGTTTCACTTTCTCACTATTACTCTTTTGCTTCTCCAGAGCTATGCCTCAGGCAGCGAGCAAAGGTCTTTGGAGTTGGAATTCGGTGGTCTCTCCCCAGCTAGACTGGCGATGTTCAACCTCGAGGACCCTCTACCATCACCAATTTTGGAGCGCCCCCTGCGCATCAGAAGCCCTATCAGAAATGTTTTCTCTGAAGGATCCTCTGTCCTTCCTATGGTGAGTATTGTAGATGTATCCACTTATTGTTTTCAATCTTCTATTCACTTGCTGACTTATCTCTCTCCACTTTGCGTTTCCTCCTCCCTTTCTTCTTGGTACTCCGAATCATTCAAGACTCCCGACTCCTCTCGTATTGAATCACAAGCTTCTTCTCTCTACTATGGACCACCATTAGTTATGAACCCCGATGGTAGTGTCCAATCACCTCATCGAAAACCCGACCTAATCATCAAAGGCGGTATCAAGAAAGTTTGCATCACGGAACTTGCTTTAATAGACTTGGTGAGTGTTTCTAAATCGTGTTGATCATTCTTCTTGATTCCTGGAGCTTATCAGTTTCCACCGTGTTTTCCTACTTTGCATTATAGTACTTCGTCTTGCCCCCATTCGAGCCCCTCAAGAGAGTACTCTACACTATTCCTGAGGAGCCTGAGGAAGAAGAAATGGTTGAGTCTAAAGACAAAGGGAAGGCCTTGGCCAACGGTATGTTATTTGTTTGCTTTTTCATTCCGAAATTTCTTCCAATCAATTTAACAATCAGTAAGACTTTATTCTAAATCTTTTCCGTTTCTATTCACATTTCCTTTACCAGATGATGAAGACTTTGAAACAGTTCCGAACTTCATTGTCAAACCACGCTTGAAGCATCGCGGATTCGTGGTGGCTGATGGTCAAGATGTCGGAGAAGCTTTGCGACTTTGGGTAGGAAATGAAGAAAAGCCTGAGATTAAGACTGAAGTAGTAGATGAATGTCATGCAAACGATATTTCTTCCTCCTCTGAATATGGCAAATCATCTGTTGAATCCTCTATGTGGCGAAATACTTGGTAGATATGTTACGTAATTTTGGTTATGTTTATTGGAATTAGGAATTGTAAGGAATTAGGAAGTGGAATATATCTTTGTTTAATTGTGTTGAGATTATGGGAAGTATCATGAGGATGAACCACACCTTGCCTTCAAAGCGCCTTTGTTTGATCTTGATCACTCGTGAGGTCTGTCTTTGATTCATGGTCTTATCTGCCACCTTGACCCTGGTTGCCCTATTTGAGATCTTTTGTCCATTGTATTGAGGTGAATATCAAAGTTCTGTTGATAATCATTTTAGATGAGTGTTTTGCTACAATGTTTCTAAGAGTGGTACATATTGCTTTTGTGAAAAATTGGTACTCTGTCTCTTTTGAAGAGCATGTCATGAAGGAAGACAACTTCTGGTATTCCAGGTTTCTGAGTACAAGTATTTCAAGTTCAACTATATCAGAAGGCATGTTTTTTTGGCCATCATGATACTCAATGACACTCAGTTGTAATTCTTGATTTCTTTGCAATACAACACCATATCTCCGAGTATTCATGTCTGGTAGAAAGATCATCGAGTGCTGTCTTTCACACCAGGCTTTGTCTTCACACTAGCACAAATAATCAAAGAGAATCAAAAAGCAAAGACTCTCGATGATGTGAAGTATGATTCAACTGTTAGTTGGAACTTGGGATGCAGAAAAGCAATGAGGTGTAAATTTTGGGTCAAAAAAGGGGTAGGAGAATTTTACACAGGCCGCTTTGCACAGGCTGACCCTGTGTAAAGTGAGGTCTGTGTAAAATTCGAAAACGGGGCCTGTGTTTTTGATTTTTATACATATTTTGAAAATTTGTTGTCCGTGTAAATTATTCCGGTGTGAAAGTTCCGGTGTAATACTAAGTGAACCCAGCGTGACATTGAATTTTACACCGGAACTTTTACACAGAAAGTTCCTGTGTAATAAGCTACAGTGTAAATACCGGGGACCCGACGCCTAGGTTGAATTTTGCACCGGGCCGGGTCACACAGGCCCCTTGTGGTGTAAAAGTACCCAGTGTCAAAATCACTTCGAGTGTACCACTCTACAATTTTACACCGAAAGCATCTATTACTTTACACCGCACAGGTTTCATCGAACCATGGAGGTTGATTCCCATGAAGACAAACATCCGAAGCAGGGTTGAATGGCCCACATATTGGGAACCAAACACCAGATAAGAAGAAATCAAAGCATGATTAAACTTCTTTGATATCTGAATAAAGTTCGACAATATCAATACCCTCACATCCGTGAGACCGGAGAAGGATGTGACGTGAAGTTGATTCCTCTTCGATCAACTCCACTTCATCTTCACCATATAGGAGCGCGCTATAATTCCAAAGACGGATTAATCATCGTTCAAAGTCTTGAATTGGTTCCAATTCGGGGACGTTTAGATTGATTATTTCTTCGAAGATGGGACACGCCGCATCTCGAGATGATGGTGGAATTATCATTCCCAAAGGGAGAGAAACCCCAATACCAGAACCTCATGAAAATATACTGTCTCCGTTGGATTTTTGCAAAGATCCAAACATTTTTCCTTATCGCATTGAAGATTTTAATTTCTCTATGTCTTATAATTTGTCACACTTGATACCACAATACTACCGTACCTAATTGCAATATCCAAAGTCACCACCTCGTTTTTCAATGATTGAAATATCGTCTTCCTCTTCTAGAGTAGAGTCTTTAGGAAGCCAGTCCACCGGTAATTCCACGACGGCAAAAGAGACAGCTGATACACGCCGCTCTAATCTACAATTACCTAACAACAAGTCCATCTACAAAACGTTTATTGATCATGGGACAGAATTCGACAAAGAAGATTATCCCACCCATCCAAATGGCGAAACAGTATATGTAAATGAACCTGAGCATTGAGCCTCCAACTTTTGCTATGTTGCTTGGACTCACACGATGCGTACCGAAACCACAAAGAAGAAAGACTGGATTACTAGAAGATACTACTGTTTGGGTGTTATGTAGTGCTCTGAAGAAGGTTGTCCATTTGGTGGTTCACCCCCAACTGGACCCAAAAAACTTGCAGAGGTTTCAGATGGGTGAGGACCGTTGCCTTGCGTTGATTCCTTTCTATCCATGTTATTGATATCCCTTTCTTTTAAAAAAAATGCAATCAATATTTGCAAAAGACTCAAAACGTGCCCTATATCAGCATGTGAAGGCTATCAAGTGCACATATCATGTGACGCCAAATGTCAAATTGACACGGAATTAGATGAACAAGGAGTAGAGCAATGGGGATTACTCCGCCATCAAGGTATTCATTGACATGATTGGGCTGAGGTCAAGAAGGCTGATCCCATATCCAAAGAGAAGCTGAAGGAAAGGGTGATCAACGACACCAAAACCGGACCCTTAGGTTTGAAGGTACATGGTCTCATTGCTTTCATTCCTGTCGGACAAACACTGACTTCCAATTGACACAACTCTCTAGGTGGGACGCGTCCATGTTGGTAAAGAGCTGATTACCTCAGTCATTGATTTGCATTCATCTTTTTGTCAGGGTGGCTACCTTAAAAAGGTCACTGTTAAGGTCTAGTACTTACACAGTAGGTTCCTGACTACGTATTCCTCTGGGTATGTGGAATACACAAGATCGTGTTAATTACCTAACACGAATAATACACGGGTTATTAGTATACCAATTAGATTATGACTAGTATTAGTCTTGGTTTAAAGAAATCCACGGGCCTACTGTGGAAACAGTAGAGGATGGTCAATCCTAGACCCGGGTTTTATATCTAAAGCGTGAAGCTTAGATTTGCCTGCTATTAGAAATAGACAGGGATCTCGGCCAACTATACGTTGCGAGAACTGCGGTATTGACCAAATAGACTAAACTTACTCGGGATCTAGTAAGAAAAGGATGTCTTGACGAAAGAACTGAATCTGGAATGATTAAAGGCTTAGAGCTGGATATCGAAGCAGGGTAGCTAACTAGTTAACTACGGTGTATCAAGCGAGAAAAGAAATTATCAATATATGAGTAACTGATCCGCTAATCTGAATAAAAGAGTTGTTCGTACGTTTATTTTACGATAATTCGAGATGATAGAAATCTGTTTTAGGGAACTACTTTAAGAAGTGGAACAAAGGAAGGGTTAGAGTTTTAAAGTAAGTAACTATAAATTTCTAATGGTTCATTTGCTGGACTTTTGAAAGAGAGCACTAACTGTTTCTTTAATCTAGAAAGGTAAAATTCGATGCCCTTCTTCTCGTTCGCGCAAATAGGGACTTCTTATAGTTTTTCCTCGATAAGATTGGGCTCTGTGAAGATTTAGCTAGTATCTAGTTCTCCGTCCGTGATAGGTAAGTTTTACGTAAATTCTTTATAGACTAAAGGTTTGACTTTTACGTGGTTCTCGTAATTTTCTTATTCTGATTATATTGCCAGTTAACTCTCCTTGATCTAGTTTGTTTACGTAGTGGGCTACTCTTTGGTCCTTCCGGGTCTTTACTTGCTGTTTTCTCCTCCCGAGTACGTTATCATAATCTTGGTAAGTGATATCTTAATTCATTCTTATTTCTATTTCGTTTCTTGTTGACACTTCTTTTCTTTAGTTCCTTTTAATATTCTCTCCTTAGTCAAAGAAATATATATGTGTGTCTTCGATATATTCTCTTGGAGATTTCTTTAGTATTTGTGTTAGTTTTCTAGTAGACCTTTGAGACTAGGTCGTTTAAGATGTTATTATTATTTTTTGTTTTTATTATTTTATTTTGAATCTTTGAGACTGGATTCTTATGTTGTAATTTTGTTGAGAGAATTTCTCTTAACTGGTGTATGATTATTAAAATGAAATGTGATGGTATGATTTTGAGAAGTTCTTTTGGTGATTTCTCAGCTAGAAACACTCGAGGACTGACAATGACCAACTCTTGACACCCCGAAGGCGGTGACAAATGGCTCACTACCTTCATGGACTGGTCAAGGTCAGATTGGTCAAATTTAACATATCTGACACATTTAACCTGTCTAACAATATGTTTTGTCTTTCAGGAAGGGCCTGACGATTGTATCTTCATCTGTGGCTGGCGAAAATGCCCACGTATTGTTTCAGACCAAATGGATGCAAGACGTGACGATAGAACCAGACGAGAGATCCGATACCTATACCGGCGGCCTTCTATCCGATGTCACGTATCGTTTTTTCAAGATAGGCTACTTAATGACAACTTCAAAATAATGTGAGACCCTCAAGAGATGGGTACCTGTTCTGTTTTCCTGGCTGGGTGGTCTTCAGGCCAAACATTATAAGATTCATTTCACAATTTTGCTTCAACAAATCCAGAAAACATCAATGTCCGACAAGAACAAGGGAATGATGGTAGAGCAAGTTGTGGATTTTTCATATGCTCGGAAGATCGGCTTTCAAGACGCATACATGGAAGTATTCAATTGTAATGATAAAGATGTAGCATTATCGAAATTACATGGTTGTAAGTGGCACTACCTGCAGGCAGTTGCTCGAAATCAAAAAAACGGGAAAATTGTTAAAGCGAAACAGGTGGTGAGTAATTCTTCTGTTATGAATTGTTGACTTGATGAATGGTAGTGCTGATTAGAGGCTATGTTTTTGGTTTGCAGGGTACTTGGGAGAAGAAGTGCAAGGCCTTACTTCAACCAGATGGCCCTGGGGTGGATGACCTTGACACGCGGTTCGAGGAATTACGACGATTGTTCCCTCTAGCCAAGAGATGGATTGAATGGTGGAGCACAGCCGACGTCCAAGCCATGCTATTCCCTGCGCGGAAAAGGATGCCTCTGGACGACCCACCCTTGCCTGGAGAAGACAGTGAGGACGAGATCATGGAACCAGCAGGACCACGACGTCGTGCGGATCTACCTTCGACTACAAATGGCTAGGAAAGTATGCATAGGGTATATTACACTTTGTGGTGCGTACTCTTTCCTTCACCTTCACCTTTTGATTAAAGTCAGTTACTGATAATCATGAAAGCAGTGAAGGAAAATGTGGAATCATACCGGGAATCATTCACCTCATTGCTTTCGCGCAGTGTTTGGAAAAAGATTACCAGCAAGTCAAGAAAGGTGTTGCTATAGCTTACGGTGGACACGCGCAAACCACTTGGCAAGAAGTGGTGAAGGCCATTGGAATGGCGCCACCTACAAAACGTCGATACACTCGCAACGACGGTCGCGCGCCGGATACCACCGATGAATTGCTTGAACCTACCAAAGGAAAGAAGAAGAAAGCAAAATCCAGTAAACCTGGCCAACCAATTGGCTCGCAGAACATCAACCGAACTGCCCTCACGACTTATTAATCTTACACCGCTGGGACTACCAAAGGCGACAAGAACAGGTGTTGGCAGTCAGCAACCCTCGAGTCCCTTTACGCAATTTTTGGACCGTGTTGGAGTAAGTATCTGACCGTCAACAGCACTAATGTGGTCAATGTAGTTGCTCAACATGTCACGGCACATTGCAATTCCAAGATCTCTGGAGAAAGTCGTGGCCAAAGCACCAAAAGATGGCAGCAACTAATTCACGAAGCTTTGCAAGAAAAATCGCCTTCTTATCCTTTTGATGTTTTCTGCTCCGCGGACGGCTTTATGGAGATCTTACTGGGCGATGTTAAAGACAATCTTTTGACTATGAAACCCCTCTTCGAATACAACAAGGTCAAAACTATCTCATGTCTTCGCAATCCAGAACACGGACGAGTTCATCACCAACAGTGCACCGTCATTGCGTTGACGCCAAACATGTTTACCTCCGCGGACATTCCATACTCAGATGTTTCAACCTTTATAAACTCAATGATGTCTGAAGGATGTACAACCGAAGGAACCTTGTGCGATCAATGTCACCCTCACACGGAGAGAACTTCAAAACCAGTCAAAGATCCATCCTTTTACGAAATCAATCATCGAATGGAGATTGATCCCGAAACCGCTCCATTACATCTGTATTTTTTCTTGGATGGTGTTGCTGGATTAGCTCCCGAAGAGCGCCAAGCGTACCAGGGCGACACCAATTGGCCAGCTCGAATTGAACTCAACGGTGTGGAATACGTGATGGTTTCGCGTGGATATTGGGCCCATTCCCATTATTGGTGTAAGGTGGTCAGGTGTATTGAAGGGATTCTTGGGGTTTGGCTTTACAATGAGCACGAGAATGCTGGAATAGCTCAGCTTGAAGGGACTGATGTTTCCAGCATAGCTGGCTGTTCTGAGCATACCAGCTGGTTGTTTTACTCATGCATGCCGTGTGAAGACGAAACTTCACATATCAAATCATCTATCCTTTCACTTATGAAGGTCTTCCATAAGAATCACACGACTATCACCTTTTCCATGCCGACTCGTCGATTTCCTTTTGGAGGGGGTCTTCCCGAACCTGACAAAAGTGACCAATTAGAAAGGCCAGACCTCAAGATTAAGGAAGAAGACAACATCATTGACGATTCTCACAATGATGATGTTGATGTAGAGTATGATTTGCAATCACAAATGTCTCACCCGGAAGAATTGGATCAGGAGCCTTTCGCCATGATGACAGCAGAAGCAACCAAGGCGAAACAGGGTTAGTATGATTTATTAATACATTTATTAATAATAGTATTTGCTAATCGCTTGTATGTGCATCACAGTGACCAGAATACGGAAGGCGAAGTCTACAGTTAAACATGTGGCGAAGTCTACAGTTAAACATGTGGAAACACAAGCAGAAATCGTTGTGGCCGAAAAGATATCTTCTAAAGGTGCGTCGTCTATCTCTTAATGTATAAAAATAGTTAGGGGCTTTCTGCTGATTCGTTGTCGATCAGCAGGACGTAAGAAAGCAAAGTCTCCTAAGAAAACAAAGTGGAAAGGTTGGGTGATTGTTGAAGACGGTGAGGAGGAGGATGCCGCCAATGTGGATGAACTCAAAGTAGATGATCCCGTCGAGGCTACCCAAGATGCTGATGAGGTGGGTGTACAAACCAGAGTGAAGCGTCAACGACGCAAGTGATGCGATGTTGGATATGTTCCTTCCAATCCTCTTTTTTCTTATCAATGATTTTTATTTTCTCTTTTCTCATATTTTCTTTGGCAGAATCATTTACCATGATTTATAGTCGTTGTTATCCTTGAACATCAGTTGGATAACAAAGACAATATTTGTTTTTTTTGCGTTTTAGTATGTTTCTTGAAAGTCAGTGTTAAATGGTGTTTGGGACGGTGTAAAATTGCAATTTGTAGGCTATGGAATGCATTTTTACACTGTGATTTTTTACACTGGAATGCACGGTGTAAATTGAGTCTGTGTTAAATTGGACATTTGTGGAGGATTCTTGATTTTTGCACAGAGACTTTTACACCGGGAGTTTCGGTGTAAAAAATTCCTGTGTAAAATTCAATACCATGCTGGGTCTGGTTATTCTTACACCGGAATTTTAACACAGGGATGTTTTACACGGACGAAAAAAAATCAAAAGAAGTATAAAAATCTAAAACACTGGGCCCTTTTTCGAATTTTACACTGTGCCCCCTTTACACCGGAGTGGGCGGTGTAAAGTGCACTGTGTAAAATTCCACCCCCCCGTCAAAAAAGGCATAAACTCCCAATACCCTCAAATATTAGCCACACTGACATTCAAGTCCTTGGTCAGTTTGAAGAATGATTTGTTCTGTTTGTGGTGATCGCACAATTCTCATCAGCGCTCATTTTTCATGCTACCTACACATCTATTTCACCATATTCAAAGCAAAACGTCTGTAACCAAACGTCGATGTGCCATCTCGTGGCTCGAAGGGTGGATGTTTCGCATTGTACTTCCAATCGCTTTCCAGAAAGCCCACGATTACCCGCATCCAACGCATGACCTCTCACTACCAAAGCGATATGGCTTTTGTTTTACCTGACCACAGCTGGCCTTCAGGGTAAAAAGGGGTTTTGTGCTTCCCGGTCTGCTTCCCGGAGACCGATTGTCAAGCGACTTAACTCCTCCACATATGCTTTGCTCCTGAAATGTATATTTCGCGCTCTAGTCGCATACATGTTGAATAATGCATTTAGTCGCGCTACCGAAAAATAGCACTGATGCTTTGAGCTTAGTTGGAAGGAGCGAGCACAAGCACTCGTCTTGGATGCAATCAAAGTGAGGACGTCCCAAGATTGGCGTGATCGACTCGAAACTGTTGATCACATCATGGCCTCAAGATTGGATGTCGCAGGGAGAATAGTCCGTCTCAAGCATGACTTGCACACTCAATCCCTTTATGGAAATACCATTGCAACCTTCGGAAGAGGCTTAAAGGCATAAAAACATCTGTACCGACTGTAGGTTTCCAGTATCAGAAGTACAGGGCCTCTAGCCACTCGATGTCAGGGGGATCTGGAGTCATCACAAGGATATCCAGTTCCCGATTACTGACTGATATGAGAGGGACTCTATAGAGTCTAGATTGTCATTTCGTGCGTCTTAAGATCACAAAATGACGTGTGAGACGTCTCTGAAAGCATCAAAACAGATTTTAGATGGGCAAAAGCTTTCATCTAACATTTGTTTGAAAACCTTTTTGACCCCAGACCAAAAAAAAGACTGGATACTGACTTTGTTAACCGAATTTCTGAAAACGACGTGCCAAAGGAGCTGCCGACGATATGTTTGATAGCCAAGGGTTTGAAATCTTTGGACTGCTAATCAATCGCGGCCAAAGTCTTGATTGATTGACAAAATTTTAGGGTCATCAAACCAAGATACAAGACTGGAGGCAGCTCGTGTCAAGAACAGGATTCTGGTGTTCGACAATATAGCAAACATTTCTTGATTGCTTCTGTTTTCTTATTTTGAGTATAATGAATGTAAACAGATATAGTCAAAGTACTCTATGTGATGACGTGATCAGTACCCAAATTGTGGGCAAGCTAAAGAGCTGAAAGCCACGCTCACCAAACATTCATTAGGCATATATTGAAGCTACGAATCCTTGATGCTCAACAATTCAAGGGATTGGAATTATGGGTTGTATTTTCGGGATCATTCAGTAGAATTGTAAGGGTGAAGGGCACATACTTTGTTTTCACAAATTAATGCTGAAAATTGGTGAAGTCGCCAGCACGATCATTTTTGTACAGGTTCTACTTCATTATTACGAGTACACCGGATAAAATAATGTACTTGCATTATTTTTTAATGTTAATGCTGGATAACAATAAGAAATGCGGCAAAGCTGATCCTGATGCTGATCGTCCCAGTCATTATTTAACTCTTATTGATTGTATTTCTTACTCAGAGACCTTGCCACAACTCACCACTTCGATTCCCAACTCCATATTCCGTCCCTTCCATCTCTCTTCAACACTTCCCATCCACAACCTTTTGATTGATCATTATCACGATGCGTCCTCCGGCTCTCAATCTTAAGAATTGTAGAATCAAAAAAGTGTTCACCAACCATATCAATGATGCGGATGCAGTGAGTTCTTCTTTCTTTTCATTCACTTCCTGAACCCCTTTCATCCTTTCATCATTTCCAGTTTCACTTTCTCACTCTTATTCGTTTGCTTCTCCTTCTCCAGAGCTGCGCCTCAGGCAGCGAGCAAAGCTCTTTGGAGTTAGAATTTGGTGGTCTCTCCCCAGCTAGACTGGCGATGTTCAACCTTGAGGACCCTCTACCATCACCAATCTTGGAGCGCCCCCTGCGCATCAGAAGCTCTATCAGAAATGCTTTCTCCGAAGGATTTGCCGTCCTTCCTATGGTGAGTATTGTAGATGTATCCACTTATCATTCTCAATTTTCTATTCACTTGCTGACTCTCTCCACTTTGCGTTTCCTCTTGCTTTTCTTCTTGGTACTCCGAATCATTCAAGACTCCTGCCTCCTCTCGTATTGAATCACAAGCTTCTTCTCTCTACTATGGACCACCATTAGTTATGAACCCCGATGGTAGTGTCCAATCACCTCATCGAAAACCCGACCTAATCATCAAAGGCGGTATCAAGAAAGTTTGCATCACGGAACTTGATTTAATAGACTTGGTGAGTGTTTCTAAATTGTGTTTATCATTCTTCTTGATTCCCTGGCGCTCATCAGTTTCCACCGTGTTTTCCTACTTTGCATTATAGTACTTCGTCTTGCCCCCATTCGAGCCCCTCAAGAGAGTACTCTACACTATTCCTGAGGAGCCTGAGGAAGAAGAAATGGTTGAGTCTAAAGGAAAAGGGAAGGCCTTGGCCAACGGTATGTTATTTGTTTACTTTTTCATTCCGAAATTTCTTCCAATCAATTTAACAATCAGTAAGACTTTATTCTAAATCTTTTTCTTTTTCTGTTCACATTTACCTCACCAGATGATGCAGACTTTGAAACAGTTCCAAGTTTCATTGTCAAACCACGCTTGAAGCATCGTGGATTCGTGGTGGCCGATGGTCAAGATGTTGGAGAAGCTTTGCGACTTTGGGTTGGAAATGAAGGAAAGCCTGAGATTAAGACTGAAGTAGTAGATGAATCACATGCGAACAATATTTCTTACTCTTCTGAATATGGCGAATCATCTGTTGAATCCTCTATGTGGCGAAATACTTGGTAGATATGTTACGTAATTTTGGTTATGTTTATTGGAATTAGGAATTGGAATATATATTTTTATAATCGTATCATATTTTTATATCATGATGATGAACGTGACCTTGCTTTCGAAGTTCCATTTTGCCATCCTCTTGAGGTCCCTGGTGAAGTCGTGGTCTTCCCCCGTCATTACCTTTTGAGATTAGATACCTTATTTGAGATTGTTGTCCCATTCCATAAAGATAGTGATCATAGCCTTTGATCTACTGTTTAAGAGATTCTTTTTGACATGTATAGTAAGTTTGACTTTTGCACAGTCGGGCAGCTGAGAAGTTTTCCTGGTAAATTGCACCCCTCACCTCAGACTTTTTCCAAGGATACCGCCTTCGGTGCTTCCTTTATCAAAGCCCTTCACTTTGCCTCTGTTCAAAGAAGTGTGTACTTCACTTCATCGCCCTCCTAGCGCGCCTGTAGATATACAAATCTCCAAGTGAGAGTGATTCTAAAGTTGTTGACTAAATAAGCTCGAGAATTGCTCCCAAAGCGGCTCACTCTGATTAAGCGCCCTGCCTCTAATCACTGATGTAGCGTGCGCTATGAGCATAGTGACTTTCCTTTCTCCAACCCATCAGCTCAGCTAATTGAGGAATGGGATTTGTAACCCGGTCAGGAGTCTACATATTCGTGGTCTTCAGAATACCATTTCTCATCTTTTTGGTCAGATATAGATACAGATTAATGAGCGATACGATTGTTTGATCTGATCATATCTTTAGAATAGTTTGGTAAGACCAATATATATATACCCAAAATTCAAGAACACAACAAAGATGCTAACAAACAATCACGAAGTTCAGACTACAAAAGAGTGACGAAAAGACGATTACTGAAGTTCTATAAAGAGTCCGATGAAGTAAGTACAAGCTTATATGTTGAAAAACGAAGGTTTGAAAGTGCTGATTACTCAAAGGTAAGTTTTTTGGTTTCATTTAAGGTGAGAAAGTTCAAGATTTCCTTTACTCTTTGGATGAATCGAGGACTTGGTCATCTCAGTAGTCTTGAACTTACCCCTATTTCATTTTTAGTCCCCGAAAGGAATCATCACTTTGGAGTTTCGGGTTGTTCATGATGCTGAGCCTGAACTAATGCATCAGGTCACAAATACCAAAGGTGAAGTTTAACCAATAATTGGCCCCTAATGATTGAGAATTTTCAACTCCTCTACCCTTGCTTCCACAGCTTTGCTTAAGCTATCTTTGGAAAACTGAGTTTTTAATAACCACCTTGAACCTTCAGCGTACTCCTGGTAAAAGTTTAAAATTCGTTGATCATCTGATTTCCTAATCGAACCTTTTCCTAAAGACCCAGTGTTCTCCAAAAATCGAGAACCAGAAACTCGTGCGAAACTCTAAAAAGGTTAATAAAACTTCAGCTCATTGATAATTCTTCAGACTTTTTTCTAGGTTTCCTTTGATTGCTTACCGATATATCATCTAAATCTTTGGATAATTCTTGGATCTTGACTAAGCTATCTTTATCCAACATTTTAACCGTGTGACGTAAGAAGAGGGCAATGTTTGGGTCTGTGAATTTTGAATCTGTGCTTAAAGCTTTAAACGGTTCTAGGAACTTGATGTAACCTCCTATATACAAGACAAAACCAGAACCAAAAGAGTCAAAACCTATAATCAAATGGGTATTGATATATGTAAGGAAACGAGTTGAAGAATTCTACTGACCATTTTCCCATTTTTGAGTGCTCTGAATAACACTAGGAGTGATAAAATCAGCCTTTAAATTAGAATGACTTTCAATATAAGTTTTTATATTATTTAATCTTTCAAGACTTTGTTCATTTGTCCATTGAGGGTTCCAATCCGATAAAGCTTTTAACATTCCTTCAAATTTGAATTTCGCTTGGTTTTCTAAACTCAAAAGTAGTTGCCAATCTACTGCGCTCTCCCTTGCTCGTTGATGAAAACCTTTGATGGATACCTCAGTAATTTTTTGTTTTTTGTTTCCTAGTGCCACAAATTTTAAAAATTTCTTGACATTTGTTCTTTCTTCCATTGCTGGAACTGATATACCTAGACTAATAAATTCTCTCTGTGGAGCTGTGCTAGTGAAATCTTTATATTAAGAAACCAGCATGAGTATATCAGCACTCAGACTAAAAGTTAAACCAACTCTTTGTGATTGATTTGATTACAAAACCAAACTTACAATCTGAACCTCCGCTACCTTTTTGAAGATATTTGGCGAGTAGGCCGGGGCTCAATTGTTCCTTGACTGTGGTGAGTGAGCCAAGTTCCTTCGTAGCTCCATTTGAAAAAAGCTCCAGAACCTTTTCTGTGTTTAGCGGCCTATAAAGATCAATTTAGTCAGTGATCGAATGGCGGTTATGATTAAAGACTCTAAATCCTCACGCATAACCCTCTGGGACTACTATTTTCCTAACCTTGGTGGCAGGAGCTTCATTGGTTTCTGTTAAGAAATCGGCTCCCCAAGGTCTTTTCCTTGGACTTTTCGGTGATTGAGTCCGTCTACCTTGCCAATACTGACGATTTTCTCTGAGCTCATCAGGTGTGCCAAACTCTCCTCTGATCTCTGAGAGAGTATCGATTGATGAGCGCGGGGTAGATTCATCTTCAGTGGTCGCAGGGGAATGATGAAACTTATTTAAAGAAGATGTTCTAGATTCTTGAGTGGCTATCGAGAACCTAGGTGAAGGATCAGTTGAAGTGAGGATTTCTTTGTTAATCAGATTATCTTTGAAAGATGGAGATTTTCGAAAGTTTTCAAAAGGTGTAGTATCAGATAAAACTTCATGACTTGATTGAGAACTTTGAGGTATACTGATTGGTTTCATAATTGATTCTTGACGATTTCCTTGATGTTCAGATATCATCATTAAAGTTTCAGCAGCTTCATGAGTATCAGGTTCAACTCCTAATTTTGTAACACCAACCAGATCATGAGCAAGGTTTCCATAACATGTAGATATGAATGAATGAAGTATTAAAAATAAATGAATGTGCATGGTGTTTGTTTTGTTTTTGAAGGAAGTTTCAAAATCCAATTCGCGAGATGAAGAAGGAGTGTAGAAAAAAAATTGAAAGGTAAAAGTAAATATAAACAGTCAATCAAACACGAATTTCTTGGGTTAAAGATAATCTGATTCAAGTTTCTAGTATGATTGACGTCGTTAACACCATTGGCTCCTTTAATTGTAGGATGACTTGATTCATATCGATGAAATCTCCCTTCGACCTCATGCACGCAAGGTTGAAGACTGCGTTGCTTTGAGACAAGAAGTGAATGGAAGTGAATTTCCCCAAGAGGTCTCCTAACCCTTCATGAACCACTTTAAAACCAAAAGGGATCGCCTAGGTCGACTGAAGAGTAGAAGATAACCTCCATCCTTTCTCTAACTCGACTTTGAAACATCCCCACGCACTCGAGTTGAAACTGCAGTGGTTTCATCGTTCTAGATACCGATTGACCCAGTAAAACTTTAATAAATCTTCAACAAGTCAGACTGATCAACTTCTTGATAAATCTTGAACACTTCTTTTCGTATGTTTGTAAATTGCAACTTATTTCTTCACGCGACTTTGGTAAAGCTACTTGAAATAAACAAGAACTTGATCTGTCAAATCAAAACTTTGTCAACTTATCCTTGACTGCCCAAGTTTCAATAAAGCAATCAAATGTTTTTTCCAATGCGAGTAATCTCTCTGATCCAAGAAATCAGAATCATTGGAGATGAAGATAAATAGTGACAGTACTCTCAACAAAATGAAAGGAGAATATGGTAAAATGGAAAAATACCAACATACTCTGTTAACATAACCAGAAAACAATCTAATTGAAATATAAACCAAAAAAATGAAATGAAATCCTATTCAAGAAAAAACCACCACCATTTGCATTTCAACATTTCATTCAAAAACCCTCTGAGTCTAACCAATCAATCAATTAAAAAACCAAACAGATTCAAAAACAAACAAACCCAATTCCTCAAAACCCAATTCTAAACTTCCAAAAAAAAACTACATCTACATCTACATCTACATACATAACTAAATATTACTTAAACTAATTCTTCTTTATATACAACACACCAACAAAATCTCTTGATCAAAAACTAAAGAAACCCATATATTTTGATTTTAATACACCAAATAGTCATTTTTTTCTTTCTGAGGATATATATATATAAATATGAATAAAATACCAAGATATACAAATACGAAGAACCCAAAGCGAGAAAACCACCCCAAAGATCAAATGTACAAGATTTTACAAAAAAAACAAAGTGACACAGATCATAAAGAACCTCGTCCAAAATTTCAATTTATTTATTCAAAAAAAAGCCAAGTCAATTCAAAAACCTAAATCCAAAAACCCAATCCTATTCAAAAAAACCATAAACCAAAAACCCTTCAAACAAAAAAGTACAAAAAAAGTGCATACCAAAAAACCCCAACTTCAACTCCAACTTCAAAAAGAACCAAAAAAAAAAGACTTCCATATGTTTTTAATCTTTTCATTCTTTCACTCAAACTTCATCCCTTCATCCTTCCACGATTTCTTTAATTTGACTTTTAATAAATAAAGAAGCAAACATCAATGGATGACCTACTTCATCTACCAAAGGTAAATGTCTATACCCTACAAAAAAATCAACCATCAAACTTTTGTCAATTTGATAATTCAAATAAATAAAACATCATTAATCTCAATGAATGGAATGGATCAAACAAACCAGGTTGAAGTGAATCTAATCCAATCGAAATCCTACCAAGTATCTCATCATTCTCTCCAAGTTGATCATCACAAACTAATAATCTTAAAAAACTTAATGATAACATTCCTCCTTGTACATCAAATGGGATTTTGAACTTTTCCTAATCAAAACAAAAAAAAGACATTTTCAAAACAAAAAAAAAGACATTTTTTTTGTGGAATTAGGATTTTCAACAAAAACAAAAAAGTCAGTAAGAAACCATTGTGTCATAAAACAAAAAACCCCACTTACATTGAAAATCGGATTCAATCCGTTCCTCCTAAAATCAACCAAAACCAAAGCAAACCAAAACCAAAAGATCAACCAAAATGTAAACCCAAAAAGAAAAAAGAAAGAGCAAAAAAAGAAAAAAAAGAAAGAAAAATAAAAGAAAGACTGACTTCACCACTTTAGTTTTCCGTTTCATAGAACTAGGGATTTGATTATTCTGACAAGAATGACTAATAAGCTGAACTTCCACTACCGAATCAGGTCCATTCTCATCTTCTAAAGCACCAGAACACCTAGGTAACTGTTGAGCAGAAATTATCTATCATCCCCGCCCAAAAAAAGCAAAAACAATAAGTCAATCGATCTCAACTTATCAATTTTTTAAAAAAAACTTTTCAATACCTCAATCTCAAGTTCATACTTATGTATCCTAATCGCTGCATCTTTTTCTTTTCCTTTGATTCTCAAAACCTCAGGTTTCAAAACATATCCAGCTCTTCCGTTCTTCAAATTAAACATTGCCTGATTCAATTCCATTCCTAAATCTAAATGAAACCAAGAAACCAAGAAACCAAAAAACCAAAATCAATCAAATCCCCACCTTTCAAAAAAACAAAAAAAAACAGAAAAAGAAAAAGAAGAAGAATCATACCAAACGTTTGCCAATTAAAAGCCACTAATTGAATTCCAAGTCCCCAAAACCGATGAGGCAAAAAGTTTCCACTAAACACTCTAGTAGGAGCAGGATAAGCTCTAGTAAGATGAGACCGAGTATGACCAATCAAATCTGTCGATCCACTCTTCAAAAACTTATTCACAGCTCTTTCACTCAACGAAACACAATCTTCTAATTCATACTTGGTAATCTTATTGAAACCTCTAGCTTTGACTCCGATAGTATAAACTGCTATATCTGAAAGCGTATGGGTGATCGGTTCACTTGGTATCTTTTTCATACTTTGACTTGGTAAAGGGGTTGAAGTGAGTTGTGAAGAAACTGTCAAGGTTTCGAATGGGATCGAATCGAGTGTTGAAGGTTGTGGTGAGATGACTTTAGTTGAGATTCGTTTAAATCGATGACCCAATCGACTAGACGCATTTGAAAACACTTTAAAAGAATTCGTAGTAGATCCAAGCACCAAGATTTTCATTTCAGACCTCTCAATTCTTGGTAGGAAACATAGATAGGCTTTTGTGGGATTTCGGACAAATGGTTTCTGAGGATCAAAATTGAAACGAAGGAAAGAATCAGGAAAGGGATGACTCACTGCGCTTGAGATCTGAATCTGAACTGGTAGATGATCCCGATGTAGTAGTAGTAGTAGCAGTAGCAGAAACAGGTTGATCAGCTTCAGATGAGAGCCCAGGTGATAGGTCAGATGAATTAAGAGCCAAAGTTGGTTTTTTAGCCTATTGATTGAGAAAGTGAATCAAATATCAACATCTTGAAAAAAAAAGCAACAAGAATGAAAAAATCTGACCAACCTTAATCAAGATCCTATACATCAATTGTTGAGGACTAGGTAAGATCCCCACATCCACTCCATCTAACCTTTGATCCACTAAAGCATCACCCAAATGAATCTTTAACAATTCAGCCAATCGATCTTGTTGTACTGGTTGACAATGTACTTCTAATGATAAGATAAGTGGATAAGGTGTAGCAGCAAATGCGTATTTTGAGATCGCCTTGAGTGCTTCTGAAACTAATAACTTGCTCGTTAATGTACGACCATGGTATATTACAGGTTCGCCTGAATCTCCATCCCAGCAATCAACTGTGAAAAATAAGAGCGTTAGTAGTCCGTAGGATCTATACTAAATGCACTCATTACCCACGTTCAACGCTCCGACAACCTTCTTGTAACGCTCGGATATAACCCTCAACCGTACTCTCACCCTTGAGTTGATTTCCCACCAAATAAGTCTATCAAGAATCGTTTGTTAGGCTTTTCAAAAAAACTGAATGAGATTTTCTAAAGATATTTGATAACTTACATTATGTGAACTTGAGATAAAGTAGTCACAAATCGGATGAGTCATGTCTTGACAAACCCGAAGGTGTGCCTCATTGGTAGGTGAGTTATCAGATGATTGAAGAAAGCTATTGAATGATTCGATATTCATTAACTTTGAAGGGATAGGTAACTCAGGATTAGGATTCGAAACCGATTCATCGGGTTCATCTAGAAACTTGGAGTAAATCGATTGTAAGCTAGATGTTGATAATGGAGACTGATGATGAAAGAATAAGATTCAAAATAAAACATCAGTTCAAGAATTAGGACGATTGAGGAAAAGCATCGGGTGAATGTAAAGTGACCAACACGTTGAACGGTCTGCATGAATGTAATGAAGTCTTCAACACTCATGGTCTCTTTACCAGACGTGATGTTTTGAAAGATCTCATCAAGATCTGTACGTCTTTTAACGAGTTTAATAAACTGTTGGAATCCCGAAAAGTCCAAATAACCTTTCTGTTCTGAATCTGCCATCTAAACTCATCAGATTAAAATCAAATCAGTGATAAGTTATAAAATCATTCAAAAAGAAGAAAAACTGATCATTACATTGAAATTCGTCCTGATAGATGATTCTGGGATTGAGATATTTAATCTTTTACACAATTCAACGGTTTCTTTGAAGTTCAATTTTGGATCTGAGTTGGCATTAGCCTTTTGAAAATAATCAAGAATCGAAGTTGAATAAACAAAGTTAAAATCCAAAAAAAAAGTCAACAAAACCAAATCTAAACCCAGCAAATCTCAATCTATCTATCTCAAAGAAACCCAACCAAACTCCTCTCAAGAACATACCTCAATCCAATGTTGTTTAAGCCAATAAGCCTGACGTTTACGTATATGATTCAATCCACCCAACAATTCTCTTCTAAACTCCAAAATCTTTTCCAAAGTTACTTTCCATATCTTAAAATGATCAGGTTGAATGGCAAAGAGATGTAACATCTTATAAGTTGATTTTTTCGAAATATATATAATCGTTAGCCAAACTGATTCATATTCAGGATGAATCTTGTATTGAGATCTATAATATCCTGCGTCTTGACCAAATCGAATTTCTCGAATCGATTCAATATTTACTACCAAAAGACCAAAGACCAAAACAAACATGGTTCAGAGTCAAGAAAAAGTTTAGAGAGATATGGAGAATTGTAGTGAAATTGATAAACTGACATGAACCTCCTTTTTTACTTTCCCAAACGATTTGACCTCGTTCATGATTCAAAGAAACTTTAATCCGAATAGTTTTCTTAGCAGACACCTTGACCATTTCAGTTCCGATTTGAAGGATATAAGGAATTTCAACATTATGAATCGAAGCACCGGTTGAAGAATCGAATGAATGGATTGATTGAGAATTTGATTGAGCATTGGATGTACTTTTGTTTGTAGTTTGAATGTTATTCTGGTTGTTGTTGTCCATTTTGTTGATGATGATAAATAAGTAATAAGTAATCGGTTATCAGAATGGGAGTAAGGTCAAGATGGTCAGAAGTGAGAGTTGAGTTTTTCTCTTCAGGGCACATCCATTGAGCAGGGCACTGGATCTAGAATTGTAAAGACTCAATTACTAAAAATACCCTTTAACTCACTCACTATAGGACTCAGGAATGCGCCTACAGAGGTATCTGATGTAAATTCCGACGTTTTGTTGGCGGGTTTTGAGGGCACTAAACGACACATTCACAGCACCTACAGTAGTGCAAAATGTGCGTGACATTAAAGGCTTTCGTTTAAGCTAGCTTTCAACCTCATAGCACCAATAATTCCTGAGATAATGGTATGTAACGGTCAAAAAGAGCCTTAAAATCGAACGTCGGAATCAGGCCTTGGAGGCACGAAAAAAAATTGCGCCAATAAATTTTGCGCGAAAGTGAGGGGAGTTGAGGGGCTGGGAGTAGGCTCATTTGATAGCCCTAGTCCATGCGCATCTTTTGAAGTGCTCTGGACCTTGAGACAAGGAGTGGTGTGTTGTGTAGAGCCCAAAAACTGAAAAACAGGTTTCATCAGATACCTCTGTAGGCGCATTCCTGGGTCCTCTCACTATACAATTCATTAACCCTCTCCCCATTAAACTTCTTCAATTCATCACAAACCTCATTCTCATTCGATCGGCAATAAGTTTCTATCAACTTCCTAATAAGTTCAAAACTCAACTTGATCAAAAATGATAAAAGGCTTTGCGTGATCAATACTAGTGATCCTTTTATGATCAAACATATTTCTAACAAATCATCAAGAAACTGTCTGAATCAAAAAAAGTGAGTGTACCTCTTGAAATCAAAGACATTTATTTTATTTCTTTTGAATGGTTTTCTCATCACTCTTTTGGGATCAACTTACAAAACTGGTAGATCAGATGATCTAATAAACCAAGAAATAAGAAACTGTTTCTTTTTTTTTGGTTTTTTTGACAACCAAGAAACTGGGGCGGCATACAAAATCTAGATGTTCAATAAATTTTGTAACATCTGATCAATAAACCCAAGACATAAACACTTGTTCAATTTTTCAAAGCTTTTTGTGACTTCAACGGATCCAGAAATCAAAATTAGTATGCAGAGCAAAGTTCTTGGTATATAAAGAGAATTTGGTTGATTAATTTTGATTTCTAGTCAAACCAAAACTTCTTTCTTACTTTGTACAACAACATCAAAAAAAAGATTATCATTTTCTTGTAAAGTTAAACCAAGTTCTTAACAAACTTGTAGAAATAAACCTCCTCCTTTGAGAAAAAAATCACATGTATATCATATTTAAAACAACAAAGAAAAAAAAGGAAAAAGATCATAGATGGATTTGAAAGTTTTTTTTTGAGGTTCAAAACGTTTTAAACTTTGATCAAAAAGAGTTTGTAAAGAAATAAAAAAATAAAAGGTTTACATTTGTATCATATATATCATAAATAAAAAAGATAAAAAAATTCTTTTTTCTTGAAAAAATATCAAGGGTTTGTAAATTAGTATTACAAATTATTACAACAAAAAATCATCAAAAGAATCATCATAAAAAAGGAGTTTAAAGAAAAGTAGTAAAGTTTAGGACGGTTTTACAATTACAAATAAAAAAAGACGATTTTGAAAAGAAAAGAAAAAAGTTAAAGGAACACGTTTTTGTTTTGACGAACTAAGTTTCTTGGAACGTTTATTTCTTGAAAATCAAGTGGTTGTAAATCATTGAAAAAAGTTTCCTTGGAATAGGTCATAAGATCATCAAAATGGATGATCACGTAACATCTAATAAAACCCATCCGAAAAACAAAATCCAAATCCAAAACTCATCAAAATTCCAATTCAAAAACCAAAAAAAAAAAAAGAAAAGTGTAAACCAACGAACCCTTTCACCCATAGGACTCAACTTTCTTCTAGGACGTCTAGCCACTTTAGAAGCTTCAGATGGAGGTTCATTCCTAGTAGGAGTACTCCCAAACGAACTAAACAAAGAACCCGATCTACCTCTTCTAGTATTCGGGTATTCTTCTTCTTCTGTAACACTCGAATAATGAGGCAACTCAAACGGACGCTTTTCATACCCAAAGAAGAAAAAAAAGAATTAGTTTGAATAGATTGATTGAAAGGGAGAGAAGACTTACTCTAAAGCTGGACCCGCCACTGACTTTACGGTTCGGTAAACTGCTTCCCATCACTTGTCCAGAGCATAGGGTTTCAGATTCGGCTGAGTTTGTTTGAGGAATAGCAATCGGATTCGAAGTGACTGGACCAGCAGGCCAACGAAACCCATTAGTAAGCGAGCCAAAGCCCGAGATAGAAGATCGACGTTGGTTCGAAACAGGATGAGAAGGGATAAAGTCGGTTTCTTTTAAAGAATGAGGCGAGTTTGGGTTGATGGAAGAAGTGGGTGAATAACTTCCTCCGTGGGTAGGTAGGTTAGGAGAACTGAAGAGGGAAGATGAGGGACTGGTACAAGTTGGACTGGGGTTGGTGTTGGGGTTGGTGTTGGGGTTGGTGTTGTGGGTTGGAGTGGGAGGGATGGCTAGTGAGATGATGGATGAAAAGATTGATGAGGATCGATGGTGTTGGTATGGAGTTTGATGGTTTGGATTGGTTTGTGGTTTAGGATCGTTCGAGTTTGAGTTCGTTGATGACATGGTGGTGTTTTATTTTGATTTGAGTGAAGGGTAAATCTAATGGATGAGAATGAGATGAGTTGGGTTTTGAGGAGAATAGTTAATCGATAATGAATGTCAATTCAGCTTTAATTTGATGATGATGAAACGAAGAAACAATCCTTGATTAACTTCTTATAATTGTATTTAGGAGTAAAGAGCACGGCACTAGCAACAACTTACAAACCAAAGGAAATTCAATTTAGGGACGTGACAGTGACACGCTGAGGTCATAACAAATCCAACTTCAAATTGTAAATTACCAAAAAACACACATGACCTCTCAAAATCAGAATACACATGAAATTCAATTCAAACCCCACACCTTTTTTCTATTTTGACACAGCCACCCACTACTTCTGAGTTCTGACTTCTGAAGCTTGGCAAAAGAAAAGAAAAGTTTAGATTGGAATTTGGAATTGGAATTGGAAAATTGTGAAATTCTATGAGAGTTTCTTTTGCAAATGACCTGATAGTCATACGGATCAAATGGCTTCAAATGGATCAGGTGTTTCAAAAAGTTGATTTAACTTTAAAAATCATATTATTCTTCTTAACTTCATCATCACCCCCCACACCCACCCACAATCACATGAGCTCATGAACTTATTCAGAATCATTTCTTCTAAGAAAACTTCATTTCACCTTACAAATTATTTATTCTTTGTGAGCTCAAGTTCAACGCTGATCCAAAATAATTAAATCAAATAACCTTTAATATAAAAGAAGAAAACTCATCATTCATTCTTTCTTGATTCTTCACTATGGTATTACAAAACTCAAAATCAAACATAACTTACATTTACTACACCATCATAAACAAAGTAAAAAGATATCTTTGTAATGTAATAAAGATGTTGTGAAATGAATGATGAATTATATAGTCATAATCATTTCATTACAACATGTAAACCAATACAATTTACCAATCTCAACCCAACATCATACATCACATCTTGCAAAAAAAAAGCAATCCAGTTGATTGGTATCCTAAACCATGTCATAAAATAAGGTTAGAAATCTATAAAAAAAAGTTGACTATATGGATCTTATAATCCAAATCAAAAAGATGCCACTATGTCAAATCAGCCAAGATAAAAAAGGTCTTTACAAATCCATACACACAAATGAATCATGATTGTCAAGAAGTCTTCATTTGAAAATCCAATCAAATAGATTATACATTATCACAACTGAAGTTTTCTTTGAATGTGTTATATATGAGAATAAGTAAAGTTGATCATCAAGACATTTTCATCTGTTGAACTTGTTATTCTCATGGGATATAAGTTCAGATCATGAAGTATGAGTAGTTGGATTATTTTCTATTTGTTGTTTACCTGTCTATAGTATCACTTGATTTCCTATCACAAAGGAATCCTTCTGATATATTCTTTTCAGCTCAAATAATCAGCTTTTGATGTCTTGAGATCCTGATAATAACATCAAAAACTTCAATCATATGGTACATGTCTTGAGTCAGACTATGATCTTTTTAGACCTTCCACTTGACTCCTAACCAGGTGATAGTGCACATTGGTTACATTTCTTATCAACTAACAGACTTCTTATAAACAAGTTCAACATCTTTTCTACACACTTGATTTCTTTTGAAGATCCCAAATCTATTAATCCTATATATCCGAAATTCATAGTCTTTAATTTTCCAAAAACTGATGAGAAGTGATGATCAATATGAACAGAACAAATCCAATGGTTTCATTTCTATAAACTTTTCAATTAGTTTGGTAGATTGGATAAATTTCTTCATGGTTTATAACTTGTCAATGTGATTGTCATTGTCAACTTAAAACCATTCTTACACTTCTTATATACAGATTATTCTTGAGTCTTTGATTTGGTATTGATTTGTTTTAGAGATCACTGTTGTTTCTAGTTACAAGCTAGTTGTGTTCTTTTTACATACTCCTTTATACCATAATAGTCTAATTTTAAAGATTAGTTTTTTTACATGTATAGAAACAAAGTGTTTACTAGATTGCTATATGATTCATCAGAAGATCATTAAGATTTAAAGTCTTTTGGAGGTTTCATTTGAGTAAACTTTTCAATTGCTTTGGTATTTGGATTTCTTCTTGGTTTATAACTCTGAATTGTCAACTTACAATACAATCATTCTTGCACTTCTTATATAAAGATTATTCTTGGGTCTTTATTTTCATTTTGATTTGCTTTAGACACTTCATCTGTGTTTCTAGTCACAAGCTAGTTGTGTTCTTTTTACTCACTACTACACCACGGGGCAATTGAGCTCGCCGTTTGATGGTCGGGAAAGACCGCCAATAGACCAGATTTGCTTGGTGGTGGCTGGCCGCCGAAAACCGGTCAGTGGAATGGCCGTCTTTTGGCTGGTCTTCGCTGGCGGCCGTGAGCTGGCCAAAAGACGGCCGTGAGCCGATCAAGCGGCCAGCTTCGAGCCAATTGAGATGATCCGCGTGGGCTCTTGATCGATCAATCGACTAGCTGTCTGCTGGTCAATTGATGGTCTGTAGCCGGTATTTGACCATTATCGTTCTGCTGGCTCAGATCCAGTCGCTTCTTGACTGGCTTTTATTTTGATTGATACGATTGAATTGCAATTTATGTACATATTTTATTGTTTATGCGATACAAAAAAGATACATATGTAATAGAATGAAACAAAGATAATCTGAAAGGATAACAATATGGATGATGTTGATGTGTAGAACGTAATTTAAGTATCTGCAGAGGGGTGTTGAGGTAAGGCAGCAATAGCTGCATCGACTTGTGATTCAGTTGGAAGCTTGAAGTCAGTTAAATTTAATTTTCTTAAATCTTCAGCGGTGTGTTGGCCATCAAAAAGTCGTTTGTCTTCGTCGATGACAAGCTTGTAGAAGCTATTGGACCAATATGAAATCAGTGTGATTAAAATCAATAAGAAATTGAAAACGGATCACTCACGCTTTGGTATAACGAGGTCCTTTTGATCGGAATCGGGAGAGTTGACTGTCGGTATTCTTCCAGAGCGAAGAACTACCTAGTCCGGCAGTAGAAAGCTCAAGAAAAACTGCTTCCATTTGCTGAAGACGAAGACGAGGCGATGATGAGGAAGCTATACTGTATGTGGGGTTGGACATCTCTGCATTGATGTGAGAGTCTTGAGAAAGATGGAAAGAAAGCTGGCAATGTTGATTGATGATGGAGGTCAAAAGGAATGTGGATAAGGACTTTACCAAGAAGTTCATCACAGACTTCACCTTATATCGTCATTAACTTGTGACATCTTACAGTCACAAGTGATTCAAACTTATTTAAATCGTGTGGAGCCCACTCTACTCCATACCCATCTTTTGGCCGTCTGTTTGACCGTCTCAAGGCCAGCTTTTTGAACGCTTGAAAAGCTGGCCGAAAGCTCGGTTTTGGGCCAACCTTTGACAGCCATACGGCTGGTTGATATACGGCCAGATCGACCAGCCAACCGACCGGCTTTTTTCAAGCCGAAAGCTCAGGTTTCGGCCAGAAAACAGCCGGTCTCACCTGACCGTCAAGATCTGACCGAAACTTCAGCTTTCGGCCAGCCTTTGACCGAATTTCGGACACGACGACTTTTGAGCTCAGCTTTTGGCTCAACAATTGCCCCGTGGTGTAGTCTTATCAAAATGATAGTCTAAAGATTAGTTTTTTCACAAATATTGGACCAAAGTATCACTATCATTCATCAGAAGATTATGAAGATGTGAGGTTTGGTCATGACCCCGATCTATGAATTAGTATAGTCAGTTTATAGGCTTGGGGATTAGGGCTCAAGGCTTCCAAGGGGTTTAAGAGATCCATCATGAAGTAAAATTAATTTGATTGATGTCATGTGTTGATTTTGAGATAGGATTTGAGATGTCAAGGTGTGATTTTTTTCCTTACCAATTCTTACCTTGAAGACAGGTACACAGAAGGTCAGCCTTCTCAACTCACGTCCATGATACTAATACGAGCTGCTGACACTGTGGTTTGCTCTGGAAGGCCATGACCAAGACTTGTGGTACAGCTGATAAGTTATGCCCGTGGACGGCGGGGTTGATCGAGTTTAACTTTTGGCCTCGTGCACGGCATACATACATAGGTCATAAAACGAACACAATGATGGGACTAGAAGTTTTCAAAGAAGATACGTATCTCCTACGTATCTTCTTTAACAAGATCTCAGACGCAAAACGATCCTTGGAAACCACAAAAACGAACCCTCTGGCCTTACATTCGATATAGGCGCGCATGCCAAATGATTCGATGAGTGGTTTTCACTACCGCTTTTAACTTTGCTATTGATATGATGGATCGGTAGGCTACGATCCCTCCAGATTGGTATTTGAGGGGGCCAGGAGATGGTGACAAGAGTCAGGATCGGGATTTATCGGAATCGCAACGTCCTACAAGATAAACTTGGAAGTTTTAATGAGCAACATCATATCACACCCAAGCGATCTAGAGCTCTCGATGATATTCCCAAAGCCATACTTTCAAGTTGGCTGTCTTGACTTTGAATAATCCAACTTCCGCTCTGCGATTCGGCTGTGGCGACCCTGGCGCGGCACGATGGTATTGGTGAGCGGTTCCGGCATATGAGCTAATCCTTCATGAAGACCCTCATCTTGCCTTGGTCAGGTATCGGCATTCCCAGCAAGGTAAACGCGATGAGAAATCGATACGCTCGCCAAAAGTACGCAGACCCCTTCTTGATCGCATAGCTGTTAGAATTTGGCGTCATTCTTTGTCTTTTGCTGCTTCTTATCCTCAGGGTAGACGCTCTGTCATCTAACTAAACCATCACGTATGGCTCTTTGGACATCTATAAAGGACTTACCCATCCCTGCATATCTTTTGCCTACCTATCCGCATCGAATTGCAGTCAACAGCTCACTGAATTTTTCCTTCACTTGTATATTGTATATACTCAACACAGACCACATAGTCATCCTCTTTCTTGCTCGCACAGATCCATCCCACCTCAGATTTCATTTTTACATACGCCCTCACAAAGCTCCAAGATGAAGTTCACTTTGATCACCCTTGTGGCCTCACTCAGCGCTTCAGCTGTTCATGGCTCTGCCGTCGGATCAAGATATTTGGTGGTTAGTAGTCTTATTAGCCTCGTTTTGACCTATCAGAGTGCGTCGCTAACGAATCTTCTAATTGTAGACTCGAGAGGCTGCTGGAGACCCTACCGGTGTCACTTCAGGAAACGGCACTAACGGAAGCCCAGAAGTGGATCCTATGTTGAACAACACGTCACTCACCCCAGAAAACTTGAATGGAAGCTCAACGGGCAATCTGACCGGACTGCCTACCCCCTCTACCAACGGCACTGACGGTGTTCCGGAAGTGGAACCTGTGTTGAACAACACCTCACTCTCGAATGGGAGCTCCATGGGCAATTTAACTGGACCGCCTACTCTCTCTAGCAATGGTACCGGTTCCGCAAACGCCAGTATGGGCATTCCACCACCACCACCACCACCTCCGTTTGGTCATCCACCACACCCACCACACGGACCTTGTGGTCCCCCTCCACCACCACCTTCCGGTCCCCCTCCTCCACCACCGCCTTTCGGTCACCCTCCTCCACCACCTCCTTCCGGTCACCCTCCTCCACCACCACCTTGTGGCCCCCCACCACACTTGAAGGATGACTCACCACCCCTTCCTCCGAACGCAAGTCCCGATGAAAAAATAAAAAGACTAGAGGCCAAGATCGAGGAACATAAGCGAAAGCTTGAAAACGCAGAAAGCAAATTGGCACTCGAGAAGGAGAAACTCGCAAAGGTTTGCAGCCAATGTTGCTAAGAAAAATTCTTGAATGTGGACTGATCCTGTTACGTTTTTCTTTGTGCGTGTATAGGCTGGCGGTGGTACCGAAACCAATGGAACCAGCTCTACACCTGATGTCTCTGGAACAGCAACAAACCTTACATCACCGCTCACCACAGCAAGCAACTCTTCAGGAGTGAATACTATGCCATTAGAGGAGTAGAGACAGATCTTTACGTTTTTTGATGCAACCTATTCCCATTTTTTGATTGTTACAGTTGTTTTTTTTCCGAAGTTTCATATACTCGAAGTATATTTGTCTTTTTCATCTTACTACTTGCATCCTTTGTAGCTCCAATGAACATCTACAGTCTCGTTGTGAATTCCTGTCGTTTCTCTCATCGTGAAGTAGTGTGTCTTTGTAGTCTCAAATCAATTGTTTGATGCCACTTTGAAATGTCGAATCATTTAAGTCCACACATCATAACCTCTGAGAGTCCCTTTCGAAAAGAATTCGTTCCTTCTGTCCATGAGAGATGAGATTCAAGCACCCGGTTGCGCGGCTAAAGCTTACCGCCATAATATTCACATTTTCATTGCAAGTGATCTCATTCTCCAAATCCCAACCCAGTGTAGCCTCTGAGTCTGATGCACCTGACCATGACATGATAAAGACGTAGGTGTTGGAGCGTATCAAACAAATAACACTTCTTTGAAGATGTGTGCAACACAACTGCCAAAAAAAGATCGTACGAAAATCAATCTTTTGGGTTGCTCGGCGCGGACTGGTAAGGATTTTCTCTGCTTGTACCTCATGGTTTGTAGGCGTACGGAGAGGTGATTGCTTCATGGCGATTGTGCAGATCAAGCGATCCGACTTTTTCTCGCATGGTCTGAATTTCGGGTCTTCTTTGCCAAGAGTGTCTCGGGTTCTGTGATTCAAATTCGTGAACACTTGTGATTGTCGACTTTGAAGTTGTAGGAACGATGACCACGGCGCTATACCGCCTTGATTTCTAACTAACCAACAGTTTCACAGGGATTAATCTGCCCCTTTCAAAGTCCCAAGTGAACACGGCGCAAGCCTTACAGAAGATAACTTGCTCATTGCACACATCACAGGTAGGTTCCTCAGGCGCAAGAGCCTGCAGATCCTGATTTTTGGGCTTCCAGGCAGTGTCACCAAAATTAGGCAAACTGACCGTCAAACGAAAATGTGCAATGAACCCTGACTCGGCGAGTGGTTATTCGAACTTGGCGTTTCCGATGATCTCTTTCCATCTCAAAGCCGGGGTCTTTTTGATCGCCTTGACTGATTTGCCCAACCTACAACTGAGGATGGACGCATATAAAGAGTTGAAGTAAGTGCCTCCGAAACATTATTCCTCATTCCACCTTCTGCATCCCTTACGTTAAACATAATCCATCTTGTGATCTTCTCTGTATATACAACCTTAATTACCTCCACTGGTTTTTATTCTCACTCGTCCATTTTTTCCCCATATTCCTGACTTCATTGTTCAATAAGCCTACCAAAAACTTTCAAGATGAGATTTACATTGATCACCATTGTTGCTTCGCTCAGCGCTTCCGCTGTTCATTGTTCTATGATTGGATCCGGATCACTTGTGGTTAGTAGTTGATTCTTATGTGACTTTCATCATGATCTCTCAGAATTAGTCACTAAAGGTTGATTTCTTTCCTACAGACACGAGCTGGCGAGAAATCCATGTCCGATGCTCTCAATACTACCTCTGGAAACGGTAGCTTGATTGAACCAAGTAGCAACAGCAGCTCAGTTAACGGTACACAAGGACGCGGTAATCAATCTATGCCTGATAACAACTCCACCTTGCCTTCTCTCAATACCACTACTGGAAACGGTAGTTCGATTGAACAAGGTAACAATGCTACTTCAGTCAACGGCACCGATGGTAGGCCAACTCCCGAGACCAATTTAACTGGAGCATCCAACTCTACTGGTAACGGTACCAGCTCTGTTACAAACGGCACTGCGAACCCACTCTTAGGTCCACTTCCAAAGAACGCAAACATTGATCAAAAGATTGCAAGACTCGAAGCTAAAATTGTGGATCACAAGCAAAAGCTTGAACATGCAGAAAGCAAATTGGCCGCAGAAAAACAGAAACTATCACAGGTTTGTAGATCCTAAACTTATTTCAACTCTTAGACTCTCATTGATCATCATCTTCTTCTTCTCACAGATTTCTGGTCATGATCACATTGGAAATAACTCAGCACCTATTGCACCTCGCTCTTGAAAGACTACCAACATTTCAGGATCAAGTACCACGCCATCAAAAGAACACAATTCACCAGAGCTTTCCAGGTGTTGATACTATTTTTTTCATTGCGTGTAAAGCCAATTGAAAATCACTTCGAGATTTCTTCTTTTGATTTCTATACTTTGTCCTTTGCTACTTTTACAATAGACGTGTCCGTCATCTTGTACTAGTAGAATTTCCTTGTAGGCTTGAATTGTGATTTGTAACATATAATCATCTTGAAATTACTCATAAAACAGTGATTTTACTTCCGAGTGTCTCCTTAAGAGTGATATTCAGAGACGAGTCGAGTGTCTTCATCATCTGCACTCAATACTTGAATTTAAGTATCAATTGAGGTTCTTTTTGATTTCTTTTGATTCATCAAGTCATTCATCTTGTGCGCCTCTAATCTGATTAAAGCCTCACCTTTCCCTCGGTGTATTATGTGATCAGACTAGTGGATGATCATTATATGGTGTAAATTTGACTCTGACATGAGATGTATGCATGTGGATGTTGAAATGTTTTCAACAGGAGAAACACTCCAAAAATTCATGATAAAACTGCTAAATGAAGGTCATCATTGTGAGCGGCTTATATCCAGAAGCTGACGGCACTCGTTCTCTTCGTTCCGAAGATCCTCATCTCGATCCATGAGTCGAGTCAGGTCTAGCCTCACTCAAGGACATACAAGCAGAACTAAATTCCCTGGATAGAGTTGTTCAGATGTATCGATTTCCCTCGCCTCTCAAGAGGCAAAGCAATTCTATGTGCTCTCTGTAACTTGGCTTTGTGTACCGTTACGGTTGAAGAGGAGAAGCAAAAAAACGTATGATTGCTGATTGTCAGTAGGCAATGGCACGATAGCCACGGCGCTATTGGTTGGTATTTGCCTTCCACCCTTTCCCTGTCCATAGTTTCTATGTGATCGAGAGCCTGCCTAGGATAAAATCATTGTACCCCTTCCAACGTCCAAGATGGAGACGCTTGTAGCCCATATCATATCACACTTGATCAACCCATGCGCGGCAGCCTATAAACCCTCATCTTTTTGTCTCCAGGTACTACCACCTAGGTGAGAGGAACCGACTGAGAAAACAACACGCGCAAAGAACCCTGATGATATGAGTTGATCTTCGACCTTGGCGTCTTCGATCATCTCTTTCTCACTCACAAGCTGGGTTATCTTACACCTTGGCGAAATCTTTCATCATACGCCAAAATAAAGGTATATAAACAAAGCAAGTGACCAGCAGCTTTTATTCCTCATCCTATCTTCTACATCACTTACATCCAGTCTTTGACCTTCTCTGTATATACTTCAACCAGTTCAACTTATCTTTTTTGTTGTCTTATCCATTCAACTCTTCCTCACATTTTCGGACTTCATTTCCACAAAGCCCTTTACTAAACTTTCAAGATGAGATTCACATTGATCACCCTTGTTGCCTCGCTCAGCGCTTCAGCTGTTCATAGTTCTATGATTGGATCCGGATCACTTGCGGTTAGTAGCTGATTTTCATGAGACCTACATTATGATCTCTTAGGATTCTTCACTAAAGACTGATCTCTTTCCCATACATAGACGCGTGCCAGCCAGAAACCCATGTCTGATGCGCTCAACCACACCTCTGGAAACGGTAGCTCGATCGGAACCCCTACCAACAGCAGCTCAGTTGGAGGCAGCAAGAAACCTAAGCCTGATCACAAGACTTCTTCAGGAAACGGTAGCTCGATTGGATCCAGCACGAATGCTACCTCAGGTAACAATGGTACTGACAGTAGCCCAGATCCGGATGACGATTTAACTGGATCATCCAACTCTACTGGTAACGGCACATCCAACCCTCTCTTAGGTCCTTTACCAAAGAACGCAACTATTGATGAGAGAATCACAAGACTCGAAGCCAAGTTAGCAGAACATAAGCAAAAGCTTCAACGTGCAGAAAGTAAATTAGTCATTGAGAAAGAAAAGCTCGTAAAGGTTTGTAAATCCCACAATTCTCACCCTTAGATTTTCACTGATCATGTTTTTCTGCCTGTTTACAAAGCTTGGTGGTGGTAATCATACTACAAATGCTTCAGCTCCTATTGTATCTCCTCCCATCATGAAGCACAACAGCACCGGCACTGGAAATAGCTCAATGCCCATTGGACCTCATATCTGGACCAAATCCAACATGTCAGGATCGAACACAACACCATCAAAGAAGAACTCAACCCAGTAGCTTACTTGATATGTTGATACAATTTTCTTAGCTTTTGTTAAATGAATTCCAAGATTTGTTCTACTATGCTTTCTATACTTCATCTTTCGATACTTTCTTACAATAGACTTGTTCATCATTCGTCACTAGTAGACTTTCCTTCTGACCTTAGGTTGTGATGTGTACCATGCATGCAATTCTCTTGAAAACCCTTAGTAAACCAACACGTATACTCGGGCCATTTCTTATAAGTGAAGATGTCTTGAAATGAGTTGAATGACTTCATTGACTTCAGCCTATACTTGAGTGGAAAGATCATTCACTTTACCATCTCAGCGAGCCAAAACCCTCACAAACCTGTATGTTTACAGCAGTCCAAAACCGTTTTTCTAAAAAAGTCGAATGTGGCATGAAACTTTTGACATCCCAAATAAAAAGTGCATATTGTCATGAGAGGTAGATCTCTAGTTAAAACTTGAGGAAAAATCTCATGGTTTTACCTCTTAATTAAAAGCCAAAACTGATTCTTTAATCCATTCAGAATAACCTTTGACTAAAGATTTGATTTGATTTCTAAAGCACCAAGACATGAAACTTTAGAATTGAATTCTCTTTATCTCCCTGATCAAAAAAAGTCTTTCTTATCGGTAATGTGGTATTCAATGAAATTGTGATGATAGAAATAGAGATTTAGAATGAAGAACTAATTTTATATTAAACAGCTATGATTTAATTTGGTCAATACCAATCCTATCTCATGACCAATATCCGACCAGAAACTGGTGAGTGAGGAATGCAGAGGTTTGTAAGTTTTCTCGACTAACTCATTTCTAATTGGTCACCGCCACTGGCATGAAACATCCATCGCTGAAATCAAGAATGGCTTACGGATCATTGGCTCTTGCTGTGATGTTTGGTTCGAGTTTCATTGGAATGAGATTCAAATGACATCATTACTTTAGCTGTTTACCACTCGACATTGATCATTTCATCCTCAAAACCTTACCTACGCTTTTACCATCTTTTCAATCTTACCATTCTTTTTTTCGTGTCCTTCCTACCCATCCTCACACTTGAAACAAATACAACACCTTTCATATCATTACATAAACTTTTTTTCCTTTGTACTTCAAAGTTGAACAAGATTTTTGAGATCCTTCGTATTAGATTTCTTGAAGGTTTGAAGTTTGGGATCACGACTTCATGATTGTAATTGTAACAGGAAGAGGAAAAAAATCATATATATATATAATATATTACAAATTCCATTTCTTTAAATCCATTCCACATATCAGTCATACCTAAAGATTCAATAAATTCAACTTTTCAATCAAAAATCATATAAACCAATCAATAATAAAGAAAACCAAATCCTCAAAACCACCAAGAAAAAAAAGAAATCCATTCCAAACCCATTCAACTCCATCACCTCCAAAAACCCAAAATCCAAATCAAAACCCAATTCCCGATTTCTTAATCCCATCCACATAAACTTCATCAAGCAAAACCTTTCTAGTAAACTCAACAAACCCAGCATTCAATCTATAACTCATCCTAGTCCGATTCATACTCTCTCTAAGCGTCCTATGATTCTGAGTCTTGATCTTGCTCACTTCTATTTCAGATGATCTTTTATACAATTCTTCTGCTTCATCTTCAATTTCAATGATCATTCTTAACCATGGAAGGTGATCTAGGATTAATCCTTCTGTTGAATTTAAGGGTGCGGATAATGGTAAGAATTCGGTTGAAAGTTCGATTAAATTCGAATGGGTTTTCCTATTTTTTTTGATAAAACACAAAACAAAAAACAGTTTTCTGATCAATTTCTTCTTTTAGTTTGGTAGTATTGATTAGTGATCAAACAGTTTTAAGAGAAAAGATCTTTTTACCTTTCGATTTGGAATTTCCTTTCATCAAATTCATCTAGGATTCCAATTAACTTCATTCTAATCTGAATGGCATTCATTCTTTCTTGATCATCACTTGCTAAACTTTCTCTATAACAAAACTCATTAAACTCATCTTTTTCTAACCATTTCGTTAGGTTTGGTAAGACGATCTCATCAGTTTCATCTACATTTAAATCCCATTCAAAGTTCTAAAATTCAAAACCAAAAACCAATCAGTCAAGTTGAAGTTGGATTTATATTCAATTCAAATTCTTACTCAACTTGAATTTGTACTTTTTCACGTTTATCAATAAACCCATCCACAAACGATCTGATTTCCAAACCCTTGACAGTTTTTTCAAACAAATCCAATCCATCCCACAAACCCTGCAAACCCTGATAATCTTTCTTATCCATCTCTTTAATTCGTTCTTCAACACTCATTTCACTTAAATCTTGTTCGATTCTAGAGATAGGTAACGAATTTGAAGAAAACAACATTTTGCTTTCTTTATCAGATTTCAAATCTAACCAACTCACACCTCCCATCTTACATCCGATTGCCCATTGACACCAAAACTGTAACATATTCAAAGATCTCCTTAGATCCATTCCTTCCATTTCTGATTCGATTCCCATCTCAATCGGTTTTCGATACTGATGTTCAGATGAATAAAAGCTTTGTAAAGTTCGATGATCGATCAAATGACCTTCATTCAAACAAATCACTTTCATCAAACCGGTAGCTTCTTCAATCGATGGTGATGTGAATTCTAAACAATCTTGAATAGGTAAGCTTTCGGTTGGTAAAACGTTTCGATCGTTACACGTCATGATCACGGGTCTCATAGATTGTGAAATTAATTGAATGACGCCTAACCAAAACTCTTTATCTTGTTGATAGACTACATCCACTTCTTCTAATAAAATCAAAGTTTGTTTGGTAGTTCCATTCAATTTGATTTCGACTTCTTCCACCATCGATGAGTTCGAATCATTCTCTTTGGTTTCGATTGGATCTTTCTTACCTTTTTCTCCTTTCATCATTTCACTAAACAGATTCCCAAGTTTTCCTTTTGGATTTTCCACTTTCTTTTTGGTGGTAGATTTGATAGGTTGATGATTCGAAGAATTAGGTAAAACATGATTCCTAGCTACATCACCAACTAATCTTTCAATCTCTTTACGATTTCTTAAGACTCCTGAATTCAGTTCAAAGACATCCCAACCGATTTCATTGGCCAGTGCATAAACAGATGAAGTTTTACCTATCCCAGTCGGTCCAGTTAATAACATTAGATTTGTTAAATTCTCAAACTCGATCTTAGGTTCTTCAATCTTTTCTGGTGTGTTGATGGTTTCGATGGAAGTAGATCCAAATTTAAATGATCCGATTCGTTTTCTCGGTGATTTATTCATACTGATCTCTTCTTCACTTTGGTCTTCTTCAAAATCCAATACATCTACATCTTTTGCATAAATCGTGTCGGAATCTTCATCATCTGATTCCACTATGAAATCCCGTATATCATCCTCATCCTCATCATTCATTCTTCTTCTTTTACTTTTTCGATCTACTTTTCGAGTGATCGTACGTTTCTGTGAACCGGTCTTGTTGGAATGATTAGATGATCGTTTTGATTTTTTTCCATGACTGGTTTTGGATTGTTGAGATACAGAAGGATCTGAAAATGTTCAAAAAGACACCAACTTAGACTTTATAGAAGAACTTGGAAATGTTTTTTTTGAAACTTACCTTGTGAATCTGCTTCCTTCAGGGCAATCTCTTTCAACCAAGCCTTGAGAATCTGAACATTTTTCAAATTCTGTTCTCCCAGAACCTCCAAAGAACTTTTAGGAGCATATTTTTGAGTCCATAGTAAAGAAGAAGAAGCGGAAGACCTATGATGTTGTCTTTGTAAAGAAGGATGATCAAACCTAATAGAAGTTTGATGAGGTAAAGGTTTCAAAAAGTTCAAGATTCTAGAAATCAAAGGGCTTTGATAAACCGAATTGGTTTGTAAATCCGAAATCAATTGTGAGGGTTCAACTAAATCTAATCGTTCAAGTCTTGGTAATTTGTTGGAAGGAAACAATGGTTCAGAGAACGTAATTTCATCTAATTTTAATTCTTCTGTAAAACGCGTCTTGGGTTTTGATTTTCCTTTTTTGAATTTGAGTGGATGATGAACCGGAATTTCAGATAGATGATGATGAGTAGAATAAGATTGATATGATTCTCGATTGTGTTGTAGTGAATCGGTTGGCCAACTTGCTTCTGTGGCTATTAGTTTTGATGATTGTTTTGATTTTCGTATGGCTTCTAATTCTGCAAAGGTTAAGAAAGTTTGATTGGGTTTCGATTTCGGTTTCGGTTTGGGTTTAGGATTCGATTTGGGTTCTGGTGGTTTTGTGATTGAAATAAATTGGATTTCGTCATCTTCATCGGTAGGTTTGGTTGAACAGGTGTTGGGGTTCGATTGTTTTGATTTATTGTTTGGTTTAGGATTTTGAGGTTGGAATGAATGATGGTTTGAAGAAGTAGTAGAAGATTGAAGTTGATTCGATTTGGTTTGATCTTCTTCGTCTTCTTCTTCTATGATGATAATTGGTGTTGGTGTTGGTGTTGGTTTAGGTTGAGTTGTTGATTTGAAGAATGAAGTGATACTTGAATTCTTGGTTTTGGACATCATTCGATAACTTTATAAGTTGAAGTTTTCGATTCACAAATGAAATGAAATGAAATGGATTTGATGGAAATCTTTTTAAAGAGAAATATGTAATCAAAATCTAATTTGTAAACTCATTTCATTTTGTTACGCGTTTAAATACTTCTCAACTTCATCACGTCTTTTTTGTCATCTTCACTTGGTTAAACTTCTACAAACCCATCATCTTTCTTTCTTCCATCCCTTCCTCACTATAAAATCTTTCCTACAAACTTATTCTTCTTTTTGATTTTTGTCACGTGGCTCGAATGCGCTATAACACGCGTGACGTCACCGGCTGTCTGGCCCAATGGTTAAGGCGCTTGCCTACGATATCTTCATGCGATGCGATCGTGTTGGTATAGCAAGAGACTCCAGGTTCGAGTCCTGGGATGGTCGAGCTTATCTTTTTTGTGTGTTCGTATCTGGTTTCTGAAACCAATGAGCAATGCAAGAAATTTGATTTTTTTTATTATCTTTTTGGTTTGGAGTATTTGAGTGAAACAAGAGAGTATCACAGTTTTACGGTCATGCAAGTTATTCGCACCTGCTCAAATTTAACAAATTGAGGAAAAAACCGTAGACAAGAGGATGGGTTTCTTCAATAAATTTAGTAGAGACAGTCGAATGATTAGAATGTAAGAAATTTGATTGGTGAGTTTGTGAGGATCACAGTAGGTGTGGGAGGTTTCCCTTTGATACATAGGCTGAGAAACAAAAAAAAGTTGAAAAAATTATAAGTAGGAAGGATTATTTTCCCTACGTGTGGAAATGGGAAGATCAGTTGATGTTTTATCTGATTTATATCTTTTCAAGAATTTATTAATCCTCATGACAGAACTTTTAACTCATCATTGATTTTTGTACACAAAAGAAACAACAAACTGTCTTCAAAAAAAGAAAAAAATATCTACATTTTTAATTTATGTGAATTCCTTTATAACCCTCATCCAAGTTCTCATTCTTTTTCGTAAAAACTTTAAAACATTTTGATTAACTTATTTTTAAGTTTTAATTAAATATATATTTATAACCATTTTTTTTTCTTTCAAAACCAAACCAAAATAAAAATAAAGTAAAAAAACAAAAACTTTTTAATTGATTTGATTGTCAAAAATTTCATCAATTCAATTTAGAAAACTCAGAGAACACAATCATCATCATCATCATCAACATGATGATAATATTGTAAAAGAGAAGTGATTTTTTTTTAATTTAATTATATAACAAATAGACACCAGTGAAAGTAACACAAACACATTTCCATTTTCCAACCCCCACAAAAACACACACACACACCTTGTTTATATAATCATTTTTGTTTGTCTTGTTTAAAGAAAACTAAACTTTTTTCTTTATAACCCTGAATTATCAATTTATCAATTTTCGAAACCAACCATGAATCCATCATAATATAACTTCATACTCTTAAATCCCAACAAGTACCAACCCAACCCGATTCTCCAAAAACCCCTTTCCAATCCGTTCCAACCCCCCCAACACAAACACTTACTTAATCAGTATTCCCACTACACAATAGCAGCCGGAGATTTACCACGATTGCCCACTAGTTCTTCATCAACTTCACCATCCGCATCCACATCCGCATCTGAATCCTCAACGATCTTCTTTAAATTCTTTTTAACAAGTTGAGCATTACTTTTCTTTTCTTCTTCCCAAACGTCTATAGCTGCACAATCTTCTAATGTATTGAAGGCTTGCCATGTAGCTTCTGATTCTGGATAACCTGCCTGTTGGGTTCACCAATTCTCAATGAAAATCAGTTGATGAGATCAAAAAGTGAAAGAGGTAAAGAAACGTACCCATAAGACTTTGTATACCACTTGACCTTCTTCATCTAACCTTTCTCCAATAATCTTTTCAATCACAAACACCCCATCATCATCCCCATCCCCATCCCCATCCCCATCATCATCCTCATCATCTTCGTCTTGTATACTGATCTTTTTATCTTGATGTTTGATTTCTTCTTCAACAAACCCTTTACTTTTTCGTTTCTTATTCGAATCAGATGAGTTAGAATGACGATTAGATCCATGTTTTTTGGAATCTTCTTGGTTCGGTTTTCGTTTACGAGTCAGTTTGGATAAGGAAGATGAAGTGGTAGTGGTTGTAGTGGTTGTTGTAGAAGAAGAAGACGTTTTTTTAGTAGATTCGTTGGGGGGTTTGGGTTGGGTTGGTTTTGGTTTTGGGGATTGGATTGGAGATGGATTCGAACTTGGACTTGATCTTGGACTACCCAGACGAAAGAAAACTCATCAATTCAAATTGAGTTTGGGAATAAGAAGAAAGAAAGAAAAAAAGATGAAAGCAAACGAACGCGTCTGCAAAAGCAAGTTTTCCCAAGATAGGAGAAGTTTCAACGTCTAGTAAATAAGGATCGATATGAGCACCAGTATCAGGTTGAGGAGAATTTGGTTTGGTTGAATGGCTAGTAGATCGATGAACTTGTGATTTTCTTTTGGGATTCGATTCGGGTTCGAGGGTTGAAGTCGATCGTTTTGGTTTTGATTTGGTTGGGATGATTGGTGGATCTGTTTGAGTAGTCGATTTTCTTACTCTGGTAGATGGTTGCCTGGTTAATTGAGCTATACACCCAAAAGAAAAGAAACAAGATCAAAACTCGATTCTGGTTTGGTTCTAGATAAGGTAAGGAGAGAAACTTACCACCACCTACAGAGTTTTTCTTTTTAATTAAATCTTTAAACTTATCTGATTCTAAGAATTGATCAATAGCCAATTCTTCACGACCGAACCTACCAAACTTTTTAGTCAAGACAGTAGAAGATTGAATGGTAGGAAACCGAGTTCGATAAGCCTTTAATTCGATTTGTCTTTCGTTTAGATCAGAAAGATGATCCACCAATTTTGCCGGTTCTAATAATACTCTTGAATCAAATGTATGTTTTAAGTATTTATCAAATGACATGAAGGCTTGATAAAATGAAGAAGATGATGAATCTGAAGCAATGGTAAGTTGATGATTTGGATCGGATTTTAAATTAGATAGATCTAGAGAAGCTAATTCGTATAACTTTCGTTGGATCGAATCAAGTAATTTAAAACACAAATTCCATGCATCTATCTCATGATAAGCTAATTTAAATAGTTCAGTTGTATTGATAATTTGAATGAATCCATCAATGAAATCTAAAAAATTATCAATTTCACATAAGATTGAATCAGATGAATTGTATAAATCATTTGAATCTAAGGTTTGATCAATCGAATCTTGCCATGATTCGATAAGAGTTTCAGGTTTTTTTAAACAAAAGTTTAAAAACAATCGGATTCCTAATGTATCTGAAATTTCAGGTTCTTCAACAATCGCTTGTAAAAAATCGTAACAGAAATCTTTTTGAAAGGTTGATGTTGCTTTTTGGATTGATATTCTTAGAGCTGGTGTTAGTTTTGATGGGATTTGATGATCGATGGGTAAACCTGTGTTGAGAGTGGTCATGTTGTCGTTGTGAGATGGTGCGAATGGTGAATGGAGTGAGTGCTAGTCGAGGGATGAGAATCGAGAAGATGAAGATAGTGAAAATTTAATCAAGTGTACTTAACTTAACCAATACTTAAACTTATCATACTTAACACTCAAATTCACTCTTCACTCTGAACGCGTCTCAAAGAGTCAACCCCTTCACAAATCAACAACAACAACAAAATCAAAAACAAAACAAGTATCAACTCAAAACAAAATGAACCCATCCAATTCAAAACAAACCCAACATCCTATCAAATTCCCATTATCAAAGATTCACAGATTACTCAGACCACTCAAATCATCCATCATCTCACTAAAACAAGAACTCATTCATCAACATCAACAACAAGCATCACAACCAAACCATCACCATATCTATCATGAATCAAAATCAATCAAACGAAAGACAATAGAACAATCAGATTATCATCCTAATCCAAAACAACAATCATTAATCATCAAAAAGAATATCAAACGATTATCATCTAAATCAACCACCACAACTACCATCACTCCTTTCAAATCTCATCCAAGTTTAATCAGTTCACCACTCTTTGAATCAACAAATACGATCAACAAGATCCCTAAGAAACCATACTACGGTCCAAAGAGATGTATCAAAAGATTACCATTCACTCGTGGAAAGTCATCAAGTTTTACTACGAATTCTAATTCGATCAAGACCTCTAATCAAATCGAACAGAAACTTTCAAAAGTTTTAGCAGCTTATAAAAACGTATTAGATTCGGTTACTTTGACAGATTTATTAGTGATTTCGAATGAGAGGATTCCATTGACAGTGATTTGTGCTCAAGTTATTGGATTTCAACTTGAGTCTCTTTTGGTTAATCAGTTTGGTTTGGATGAGGATGGGTATGATGATGATGATGATCATCAGGAGGAATCCAATCAGATTAGTTTGATTGAAGAAGAAGATTGGAAAACTAGTTTGATGGATGAATGGTATGATGCGATTCCAATCAATTATAGAAAGTGAGTTTTGAAGTTCATCAGATTCTCATTCATGACTCATAAAGTGTTTTGGGTTCTGAATTTTGGGCTTTTTCTTTAGATATGCTTTAGCTCAACATTCACTGAGTTTGATTTTAAATGAATTGACACATGAACGTTCAAGTTCATGTAATCTTTCATACGATTTACTTTACAAACTTCATGAATTACATCGAACTTACGCGAGTTCCGATTTGATTTGTTCACAAGCTTCTAAATTATTAAATGCATTATTTGAATTACCTCAAATTGATTGGTATGAATTATATGATGCATCATTTCATCAATTCGGATTAAAGCATGAGTTTTTAAACCAATTTCATCAAAGAACAAAAGAGACAAGTTTTTTAAAAGATTGGTCGAATTGGAAATTTGGTTTGATTGGGTTTATTGATAAATCGATACATGATTTTGGTTTGATTGGGTTTCAAAAATGGGTAAAAGAAAGATCAAGAGTTTTGAAAGAGAATTTGATTAAACAAGAAGAAGTTTCAGTAGGATTAAGATCAGATTTAAATGATTCGGATTTTGATCATCAGTATAATTGTGAATTGATTGAAGAGTTTGATGAAAAGACTGGAATGGTTTTAGGGAAATGGATTGATGGTTTGGTCAAGAATTCGTTGCCTAATTCGATTCATTCTAGAGTTTCGAGAGATCAGTTGGATGGCATTTCAGATTTGGTGTTTGATGAGATCCGATTTGATGGATCATATTCCACTTCTCAATCTGCTTCTACTTCTCGTGATCCACTGAATTCTACCAATCTTAATCCATCTAATCAACTTTTAATCTTTATTTCACTTTTAATCGAATCACATCGGTTCACACTCTCGAATCTATCAATCTTTAAATTACCATACACTACCATTAACACCAGTTCAAGTACTTCGACTCCATTAAAGCTTACTAAACAAGAACCCACTAAACTGATCAAACTGTTAAACTTTATTAATCATGATCATCATCTGTTATCTAAAGTTTCAAAACATTTCTTAAGATCACATCAATCAACGGAATTATTTTCGATTCTAAGTCCAAATGAAACGATGATCCGAGGATTAAATGAATTATTTGAATTGATGATCAATGGATCGGATGATCGGAAAAGTTTGATCGGATTAGGAAAGCTTTGGATCGAATGTTTGTTGAAGACAGATCCGATTGGATGGTGGAATGGGAAAGAAGATCAGGTTAGGTTTGTGAGAGATTGGTTGGATGATTGGTACACTAGGTTTGATGAGATTGATCGAATGGATGAGCAGGATGAGGATCAGGATCAGAGGGAAAAACAGGTGGATTGGACTTTGGAGACTTTGAGTCTTGGTGGCAAAAAGTTTAGGAAGATTCGAGGGTTGAGCAAGCCGGCTGAGGATCGGATTCGGTTGGTTAGCTTACGTGGTCGAAGGGATGTACGAGAGGATGAGGATGGGGATGAGGATGAGATGAGGATCGGTTCAAAGGGTTCGAGAGGTGTGTTGAAAGCGGTTCAAGATGATCAAGTTCAAGAAATCGATTTGGTAGATGTTAAATCAGATGTGGATGAAGGTTTTGGGGATCATGAAGATTTGCAAACTGGTTTATTGGATGTTGGATCAGATGAAGGTGAAGGTGAAGAAATGATGATGGATTCGAAATCGTCTGGAGTCAAATTTGAATCAATACCAGATCGAAACTCGGTGGAGATTAAATCAGATGAAGAAGAAGATGATGATGTTGAATTGGATGAAGATGAAGATGAAGATGAAGAGTACGAAGAGGACAGAGGTTTGGTGGATGTTAAAATTGATGAAGAAGAGGAAAAGATTGAATCGAGTTCGTTTGGAGGATCATTGAGATCGAGTCAAAGGAATGAAGGACGTCGAAAGATTGGATTCGCTATTAAATCTGATGATGATGAAATGATCATCCATTCGAAATCGTCTAGAAAAGGAACATTGAAATCAGGAAAAGATCATCAAAGACATCAAAATAGTTCATTTGGTAACACGTCAGATGATGAGGATGACGAAATGATCATCAAATCGAAATCATCTAGAGTTTCTTCGGGATTGAGAAAAGATCATCAGAGTTATCGAAGCAGTTCAATGAATATGAAATCTGATGAGGAAAATGAAGAAGAAGAAGAAGAAATGGAAAAAGATTCAAAGTTGTTTAGAACACCGTTAAGATCGATCCAAGAGACCCGTATCAGTAGCTCATCAAAAACGAAACTGTCTTCTTCTGCATCTTCATCATCAGAAGATGAGATTTCATTTATAAAAGAAAGGTATCAAACTGGAAGTTCAAAGCCACCAGAAAATAAAAAGTTAAGAATATCAAATCGGATTGAAAGGATTCCAAAGATGAGAAAAGTTGAAAGTTTGATCAAAGGTAAAGGGAAGATTCGATTGATAAAAGATGAAGAAGTTGAAGAAGTAGATGAGTTGGATTTTTTGAGTGATAGGAATAGAAGTTGTACGCCTTGGTGTAGGAAATCTAGTAGGATTGGAACACTTTATGGTAGGAAAGGCAATGGGAATGGTACTGGTAGAGGGAGAGGCAAGGCAAAAGGGAAGGCAAAAGCTTGATCTTGAAAAATTTAGAAGTTGTAGTACTTGAGGGTTTTGTTTTAAGAAATTGAAAAAGATTGGGCGAGGGTTTTGGGATTCTTGGGTTTGTGTGACGGGGTCAAGGGAAAGAGGGTTTTTTTTGAAGTGAAGAAGTTTTTGAACAATTGGGTTTTTATGAGGAAAAGATACGCATGAGTTTGTAGATTTCGACATTGAGTTTTTTTTGACTATCTTGTTATCATTCGGTTTATGATATGTATTGTGTTCTTTTTATCAAAAATTCATTGTTTGTTAAGTTTCTTGGTTTGATTTTTTTTCTCCTTGTTGTTTTTGTTTTATTTAAAATTAAAGTATATCAGTTAAATTTTTTTTTTTTGCATATTAGTTAGTTTTGAAACTCACCAAGGGTGATTTGTATAAAGGATTTTTTTTGAAAATATGGAATGATCTTTGATTTGTGTTGAAAGGTGATCATTTGTGGGTTTTTTCTTGGCAGTGGGTTTGGTAAAAGGTTATTTTTGTATTTTTTTTAAAGGTTTGATTTTCCTTGGTAGTCTTATCAAAGGAACGACTTAAGACAAAGTCCCATAATACAGTTTCGTAGTGAGAGGGAAAACCCATAACCCATAATCAGAGTTTTCACGGAGAGAGCTTGAATTAGTAGAGAACAATTCAAACTCCTCCCTCTCTCACTCAGCATCTGATCGAAACTCAATACACTATACTCTACATTCTCACGGGTGGAAATAATCGTTTATTTCAACAAAGTTTTTAAAATTTCAGACAGAAGACAAGTCAAGAATCCGGACATAAGACCTTTAGCTTCACAATATGACATCTTTCGACAACGAGCTCAAAAGCACACAAGATAAGTTGAAGGCAGCGGGGATAAAGATGAAGAGGATAGGATCAAAAGAAAACGCGGACAGAGGTGAAGGAACTAGTAGCGCGACAACGAGGAGCCAATCTAAGAATAGAGCAGCGGCAGAAGTAGAGAACAGTGGAGAAACTGACGCGGCAGGACCACAAGCGGGTGGTAGTGGTGAAGGTAACAACACCGACCAGCAACAGGTAGAAGAAGCAGACGGTGAAGAAGCAGAAGGTGACCAAGATGCGAACCAAAGAGGAGAGACGCCTGAGGGAAACGGAGGCGACGGCGGAAATAACGGTGAGTGTACGAAGCCCTGAAGGTAGTTGGGGTGGTCAACCTTGCCTCTATGTTGAAGTCACGTGAGGGTGACGAGAAGTGCAGAGAGGCACGAGGGAGAAACGGAGACGAGGAGGAGAAAGCTCACCATTAGAGGAACACGCCAGTAGGGGCGAAGGCGGAGAAGCGAGGAGAGCATCAGACGAAGAGACTGATGGGAGGAACGCTTGTATGTTTGAAGCAGAGACAGAACCGGAGGAAATGTCGGCCCAAGCGAAGTGGTGGTCAGCGATCGAATTTGCTTTCGAGACGCAGCAAGACGAGCTCGCTATGACAATGCTGCAAGGCTTCAACTTGATGTACGGCAAGAATGAACAGACTGAGGCAGCGGTAGAAGGTCGCACGAGGCGGAAGCGATCACCAGTCAGGTTCAGAGACGAGAGACCCCGAACACAGTCACTGATAGTAGGAGAAGATGATGACGAAGAGAATGAAGCAGAAAACGCAACAGCGGTGGATGATGTACAAGATGAGAGAGGCAGAGACAGAAGAAAGAAATCATTGATGAAGAGAAGAAGAGAAGATACTTCAGAAGAAAGAAATGATAGAGAAGAGACGACGAAGTCGAAGGAAGTAGAGGAAAACCAGGGAGAAGAAGGTAAGAAGAATAGTCGCAGAGTGTCAAACGAAGTATACTGAGATGACCGTAACTGAACGTAGAGACCGAGGGAGGTATAACCTATAGGATAGGCAAACCCCTGGGAAACTCCTCAATGTTGATGCCGTTGACGCCGTATTTCGAGAACCGAATGAAAACGCTGAAGGCCTACGTACCTCTCACAATCTTCGATCTGAGTTGGATAGAGAGAGACCAGAGAGCCGCTGGGAAGAAGAAAGTGAAGACTATAAAAGAACTTCAAGAAGATGATTCTTCAGCAACTTACTCGGGCCTAGCACCCAACGAGGAACTCCTGATGACGTACGGCTTCTGGATAGACGCCTTTGACCTATTCATAAGATACTTGAGAGAGGAGTATGAGCGACCGAAGGCGGCGAAGATGTTCGAGAGGCACAGGGTGAATGTGGTGAAGGTGAAGCGTATAACGAAGTGTTGGATGGTAGCGTTACGATACGACATGAAGGTTAGGATGGTGACAATGAAGGTGAAGAAGGCGCCAGGCGGAGGATGGGTGATGGAAGACGCCGGATACATGCATGAGGACCTCTTGAGGGAAGCCAAGGAAGAGGCGGACGCGAAGGGGGAGAGAAAGTTCGTAGACAATCCATATGCCCCAGGAGGAGGTATGGAACACGTAGACCCAGCCACAGGCTGGTCGGCACCGTCGACGTGGGGAGGCTACCAAGGAGTAGAGCAGGGCGGAAGTAGAGGTCAGTAGATTGGAGGAGAGAGAGACGGGAGAGACTGGTACTGACGTACATTTCGTTCTGATGGTTAGGAGGCGTACCGGGCAGAGGAAGGGCCAGAGGGTACTCGAACAGAGGTACTGGCCAGAACGCGAGAGGACTAGGAGGTGGAGCCCAGAGAGCGCAAGGAAACGGATGGTTTCAAGGGAGAGGTGCAGGTTGGTGGGCCAAAGCGAGAGGTGGTGGGGCAGGAAATGTAGCGGCAAACGGGAAGGAGTAAGTCTAGTCCAGAGATAGATGTCGTTAGTTGTAGACAAAGTCACGTAAGGAGAAAGTAATGACATACCTAATTGCCCAGTGACACGCGCCACACCCTAAGAGAGCCCAAGACAAGAGAGGAGAGCTATGAGAAGTATGAGAGCAACAAACCCGAAATGACAAAGGACCTAGTCGGTGAAATTCAAGTGAGTGAGATGCCACCGGCAGAAGAGCAGATACAGATAGAAAGAGTAGCAAGGACAATAGACGAGCCAGGGGAAGATGGTGGAGGAACAAGAAACAAGATAGCAGCGGAAATAGAAGGCGAAACAAGATGCCAAGCAGTATCGGAAGACGAACAAGTACAAGAGGAATTCGACCTAGAGTACGAAGAAGAACAGGCAGAGCAAAGCGAAGAAGAGGGAGACAAAGGATCGGAGACACCACTTGAACACGACTACCCGGAAAGTAGGGAGTGGCCGACCGAGGTGAAGTGCGAGATGGACATCGATGCGTGGGAAAAAGAGCTACAAGAACTAGGCCTGTGGGAAGAACACGGATATGTTGTGGTAGGGTTTAGAGAAGGTTTCACGCAGGGGATACCGGAGCACGACCTGGAAGGCCTCGAGTTCTATTTGCCAGGCAATCACAAAACGTCGGCCGAGGACAGAGAGGAGATACGAGAAAAATAAAGAAAGAGCTGAAGGCGGGAAGGATGCTGGGACCGTTCACAGAGAAAGAAGTGTTAGAGAAAGTGGGGTTCTTTAGGACAAGTCCAATGGGAATGGTAGTAAACGGAGACGGAAGCACGAGAATCATCAACGATCTATCATATCCCAAACGACATGAAAAGATAATGTCGGTGAACTCACTAGTAGACAAGACCGAGTTTGAGACCAGCTGGGACGATTTCAAAAAAGTAGAGAAGTTCTTCAGCAATCTGAAGGAGGAGGTAGAGGTCGGAATTTTCAACTGGGAAAAAGCCTACCGGCAGATCCCAACGAAGCCGTGTCAGTGGAGGTACCTGATGGTGAGGACACCTGAAGGTTGGATATTGGTAGACTTACGAGTTACTTTCGGTGGTGTGGCCGGATGTGGCAGCTTCGGGGGACCAGCGGATGCTTGGAGAGCGATAATGAAGCTGAAGTTCCAATTCTTGGAAGTTTTTCGCTGGGTAGACGACAATCTGTTCGTAAGAAGGAAGAACGAAACAAGGAAGGTATCAATGCTAGAGGTGGTGGAGGCGAGCGCGAAGCTAGGGGTGAAAACCAATGAAGGCAAGTATTCGGAGTTCGATGAGGAGCAGAAGTACATCGGGTTTATCTGGAACGGGAAAGACAGGTCAGTAAGACTACCAGAAGCGAAAAAGCAGGAAAGGATAAGGCAGGTGAAGGAAGCTCTGGAAAAGGGAAGACCACATACCTTTAAGGAAATCAAAAAGTTAGTGGGAAGGCTTGTACACGTGACTTATATGGTACCGCAGATGAGGTGCTTTTGTAGGAATCTTCATGCACTGATGGCGTCGTGGAGAAACAAGATGGCAATCAGGAGGCTGCCGAAAGAGGTGGTATCGGACCTAGAGGAGTGGAAAGAAGTCCTGGAGAACTTTGAGAACCATAGGCTTTTGCCAAAGAGAGGGGTAGACAATGTAGGTTGGATTGGCGACGCGTCGACGGGCTACGGGATAGGCGTAATTGTAGGTAAATGTTGGACCCAGTTGAGGTACAAAGAGGGGTGGAACAAACGAGATCGAGACGGAGTAAAACGAGGGATAGCGTGGGCGGAGACGGTCGCAGTGAGGATTGGACTCGAAATGGTAAGGATGTTGTATGAAACAAAGGGGAAGAGGTTCTTGGCGATAACCGATAATACCGGAACCAAAGCAGTGATTCAAAACCTGAAGTCGAGAGATTGATCGGTCAATGATGAATGGAAGAAGCTACAAAAGAGACTAGCGTACTTAGGATGCGAGTTAGAAGAGAAACAAGTAGCAACTGGAGATAACAATGCAGACGCACTCTCTAGAGGACTGAGAGGAAACAAGTACATCCACTACTATTTGAAGCCAGATCTACCGAGCGATTTGCGAAAATACCTAGAATATGAGCCCAAAAACGACGAGGAACTCGAGAAAGAAGGAGGACATAAGTTTTGAAGGATCAACGGTTAGAGACGGGGAATCGCAAAAGGAAGCAGTGACGGAGCATCTAGTAAAGGGGGCTTGGACACCAGGGACGTTGAAGGGGTACACGAAAAGCTTACATAGAGAGTACAGGGAGAGATTTCAAAGGAGATGAACCAATGAAGGCGGAAGACGTATACGGATTTATCGTATGGGCGGGGCCGTCGGAAGTAGGGAAAGCAGAAGCACCAGGGAAGGAACTGAAGTCGAGAACGATAGCGAAGTATATAGCGGGTTTAAAAGCTTGGCACATGGCCAAGCATCACGAAGAACCAAAACTGGACAGAACAATGATAGACGGACTTTTGAGAGCCACAGAAAGATCGGCGGAGAAAAGAGAACTGACGAAAGAAGAGAAGACAGAGAAGAAGGCGATAACGGTGATGGACCTGTTCGAGATGGTGGCAGGCTTAAATGGTAAATCAGAGTTACATGACTTGGCGGTGGTGATAGCTTTAGTAGCCTTTTGGGGAATGGCACGACTGGGGGAAATCTTAAGGGAATCAGCAGAAGATGGAGCGATTAAAGTAGAAGACTTATCTTTCAAACAGGGAAAGAAGGGGAGAATTGCGGTGTTAAGGCTGTGGAAAGCTAAAACGGCCAAGCCCGGTGAACCCCAATATATAAGGTAAGGAAAGCAGTAGAAAGAGATAAACAGGGCTAAACAGAGCTAACACCGCTGCCCAATGTTGACAGATTATACGAACAGTTCTCAGTCCTTGACCCGGTCTCGGCTCTGACACGGTTGTTGGCGAGCGAACACGTAAAGAGGAAGGGGAGTGATCTACTGTTCTCAGCGGTAGTAGGAGGTGAGCGCCAAACCTTATCCAAGTTAAGGTTCCGGAAGATGTTGGAAAGCGTATGGGGTCCAGGAGGAGTGAAAGAAGGCGGGTGGTCCGGACACTCTTTCAGAGTGGGAGGCGCGTTGCTAAAGTTTAATATGGGTTGGGATAAAGAGAGGATAATGGAAGAGGGCAGATGGAAGTCAAACGCGGTAGATGTGTATTTGAAGAAGTGTACGGAGAAGGAAAGAGAAGAAACAAAGGAATTCCTATGGATAATAGATAGAAGGAACGGAAGGGCAGAAGGGGAAAGGAGAGAAAGGGAAAGAAGGAAAAACTCGGGAAACTAAGAGAAGCAGAGATGTGAAATCAAAGTTCAAAGACTGCGTAATATGAGCGGTAAGCAAAAGCTTGAGAGTACCAGAGAGTGAAAGCTTGAGGATAAGATGACCGAGCTGAGCCCATATGCCTGTTAATCTGATAAGCGAGTGGAGACCTGATGACCGAGCTGAGCCCGTGCGAGTTGTGGGCTTCTCAACGAGTTGAGGCTCTCACGAGACTCACCTAAGTAGGAGGTTCACGCAGCCCACAAACAAGATCGACAGACCCAAAGAGGGATTGGCAAGCGTCAGCGGCTATTATACCGTGACGCAATGCCGTGCCGATCCCGCGCCCGGGCTCCCCCAAAAGGACCTCAACCTCAGCCACGATTAGGAGCCAAGGTTGAGGATAAAGGTAGAGACTTGCTCAGCAAGTCTCTATAACTAATTAAGAAAGGTTAAAAACCAAATATAGTAATTTGGTACAAACCAATCTAAGATTGACCTTTCTTACAAACCTTACCCGTAATGTAAGGAACTGTGAGAATGGATTGGTAGTCTTATCAAAGGAACGACTTAAGACAAAGTTCCATAATACAGTTTCGTAGTGAGAGGGAAAACCCATAACCCATAATCAGAGTTTTCACGGGGAGAGCTTGAATTAGTAGAGAACAATTCAAACTCCTCCCTCTCTCACTCAGCATCTGATCGAAACTCAATACACTATACTCTACATTCTCACGGGTGGAAATAATCGTTTATTTCAACAAAGTTTTTAAATCCACCCACCCACCCAGCTGGGCGAGGGATTGGCAAGCGTCAGCGGCTATTATACCGTGACGCAATGCCGTGCCGATCCCGCGCCCGGGCTCCCCCAAAAGGACCTCAACCTCAGCCACGATTAGGAGCCAAGGTTGAGGATAAAGGTAGAGACTTGCTCAGCAAGTCTCTATAACTAATTAAGAAAGGTTAAAAACCAAATATAGTAATTTGGTACAAACCAATCTAAGATTGACCTTTCTTACAAACCTTACCCGTAATGTAAGGAACTGTGAGAATGGATCAAGTAGGAAAAAAGATAAAACCAAGTTTTGAACTTTGGAATTGTGTAGTGTTTTTCTTTAACTTATCTTGTCTTTATGAAGATGAAGATGAATAAAGGAAAGATAATTTAAAGGTGAGGCGAAAAAGGGTAACCAATTAGAATTCATTATGACCTAGATTATCTTGTTGTAATTTTCAACCAAGCTGATCAAGGTTCAAGCATAGCTCATTTGAGGTTGGTTTTTTAAATTTTGTAATATATGATTTTGTTTTTGTTTTTCTGCAAATTTCTTGTGACTACAACATATATCACATTATCTTTTCATCATTGAATTTCTTCTCTTGTATAGTATGTATTCAAGAATTCCTTGATGTTTTAGATCTTCATTGTTTGTTTTGTTTTGGTTTTTTTGGGGGGGATGAAATTGTGTTTCTTGAAATACTTTCTTCATGAATATACAGTCAAGGAGATCAATTGAATCAAAACCAATCATTAACTTTCAAGATACATATGATAAGGTTTTTTATATCAGTTTAGGAATTCAGTGTTGGTTTGATTGCAAGATCCGGCTTTGAAATAAACTTCACTTAAGCCCCTTCACAAGTGCCTTTGCTGCGCACTCTCTTAAAGAAGGGCTTACATTGAACATGTGATTTTTGGTTGTGTGAGCTTCAAGAATGAAGTCTGCTTATG